GTTCATGCGCGCCGTCGTCCGCGGGGCCTTGGCAGCCCACGACGGCAACAGAGGCGTCGCAGCGGCGTTGCGGCCGAGCAAACCGAGTCCGTGCCAGCAGAAAGAAATCGAAATCATCAAACTCCTCAAAAACGTTGGCGCGCTGTCACCTTCCCTGTCAACTGCAAAAGAATACACATCATCTTCCTGCAGTGGAGAAGGTCGCACACTGCAGCCACGGGCCCACTTGACATACCGGAGGATTGGCCCAGCCCTCTGATGGATTGTGCCTGAAGCTCGACCAGCAAAGACATGAAGCAAACCCTTTCTGAACTCAATCTCAAAGACAGGAACGGAAGCCAACCTTCTGCCCAAATCGAATGCCAGGGGGGCGACAATCATGATGCCAACCCACTTCTCAATGGCAGTGGCATGTTTCCCTCTGAAGCGTATCATTCCAGCTGACTCCTCCCCAACACCTGGACATCTTCAGAGGATGTGGCACCTGGGGTGGGGCGGGGCGCACGGTTCAGGCTGCTCGGCCCTCTGCTGTCTATCCGACGCGGAGTTTCTTGAACAAAGAGAGCCAGCCGAAGGATGCGCCCTGCCCCCCTGCCCCCCCGCCGCCCGAAACGGTGAGAGGAGAGGACCCCTGTCATTTGTGGCGATGGGAGGCTTCAGGGGATGAGTCAGGGCTTGGCCGCCTGCCCTCGCTGGCGCGTCTGTCGCTGGCCCTTCGCTTGTCGGTGGCACTTCGCGCCCACAGCAATCCCAGCACGAGCGCTTCCCGGGCTACGAGCCCCAGTAGCACACCCACCAGCAGCCAGCCCCAGCACGCTGGCAACGGCGCGAAACCCGAGGCGTGGTACGGCTGCGGGTCAGTAACGCATGAGTCAAGGTAGTCGCAAAAAAAGACTGCCGACGAAGAGGCCGACAGCCCCCACCCCATTGCCTGCCATATCGCTCGCACCGCTTGCATCACTGTCACGCTCGGGTGAAGCACCGGCTACGGGCGATCGCAGAAAGAGTTTGGACCAAATTGGCACTTGAGCCAAAATGGCTTGAGCCAAAATGGCTACGCAAGCGTTGGGCCAAGGCACGGGCAACAAGGCGGCGGAACGAGTCGCCAACGGCGAGTGCTCGCACGCGGCCGTTGGGCTTGCGCATCGCGACAAGGCGGCCAACCCGCACAGCGGCAACCACAGCCTCTTGCTTGGCTCAGGATGCAAAGTCGCACTCGTCGTCCAAGAGCAAACGGGGGTGCTCATTCGTCATACCGGAAGGGGGGACGGCGGTCCGGGTCGCGGAGCTCAGCCCGTGTGGGCAAAGCCTATTGCCGCCTCGAAAGGCCGAATATTGCTGTGCTAGAGTGCGGCCACACCTCGTCGGAGCAGGCCACCAACAACCATGCCACGGACACCGCCGCCCGGCTTCTGAATGGCGATGAGGTGCCCGACACCAATGGCATGCGCCATGGCCGAAGCCACATTAACGAACGCCTGGGAACTGACAGCATCACCAAGGGCGGCCTCTCTGCGGGCTCGCCTCAGGTTGGCGAGGAGGGTGACGCTAACTGCGCTTGAATGCCAAGGCCTCGGGTGAAATGGGCAGATAAGGCCCTGCGGGTCTTCGAACGCGACACTTTTTTCAGCGGTGGAAGCGTCTGGCATGCTTGGTGCATACGTTTCTTTGCTCAGATCCTTATACGTGTCACAAACGGGCGCTGTCAGAGGTGGTCGGCCATTTCATTGTTGGAGGGACCAAGCAAGGTGATGTTCTCAGCCCTCTTCTCTTCAACGTCGCCTTGGAATATGCACTGGACAGGTGGAAGCAACGCCTCTGTCATCATGGGTGGGATATTGGAGCTGCAGTGCGGTTGACAAACATTCGTTGCGCTGATGATCTTCTGCTTTAATTCGAAGTCTTAAAGTGAACTTCCACCATGATCACGTTCTCCGACGCAGATCTGCGAGTCTGCGAGCGCTGAGCACGCAAGCAACGCAAGAGCCAAGGAGTCGGACGCTGTGGGGATGGAGGCGTGATCAGCTGACGCGATCCCATGCCGAGCTGCACGACCATCATTACAGCAGTGATGGCGGCACCGTGCGCTCTGCGCGGGCACAAACTGCCCATACACAACGCGGTGTAGACTAGACGCAGGCTGCCAGCATGCAAATGCGTGCAGGGAGCCGTGCAACGCATTGGCATACAAAGTTTTCGACCGATCCACAAAGTCATTTTCAGTTGCAACCACCCTTGAAGTTGACATGACGCACACCCCATATGAATACCAAAACCCTCACAAATCGACCTCAGCCAATTGACAAGGAGATGAACCCATGACTGGGGCTTCAACCGCATACCGCACGATGTGTGCAGCACTGCAGTTGCTGGGAAGACTTCAAGGATGTGCCCGCCGGCTCACAGGCTAGCTGCCTGAATCGTGGCCATAACAACAGCCGCCTACCCCATTGAAGGAATTCAGTTTGAAACCGTTTGATCTGAGATCCAGGTCAACAAACTCCAACCCAAAACAGACAGAGGCGCTGACGTGCCTTTGAAAATTGCGCTCTGCAAAGTAGAGCGGCAGACCTGCAGACCATGTCCAGGATAAGTACGCCCCATTTTGCGCTCTCCACGACGTAGGAGTTCAGTGATGCCATGATAGGCGGACATCCACAGTAACCTCTATAGGTATAGGTGTATCTCATCACGTGAGGTAGATAGAATGCGTTCAGCAACACGGAACAAGGGCAATGCCTTACGTCCACGACCACACACCATAATCGCCGATTTTGTACAGACCTCAAAGGGGCCAGAAAGCACTGGCTGAAACGCCACGACCGTGCTTGCGGTAGCCGCGTTGCAAGTTGCATGGGGATGCCTGGATATCTCTTGGATCACGTCGACCGCAGCAAAAAGCAGTCTATTGAAAGGATGTCTCGGCGTGGTGGGCGAATTCCAGTCGGAAGCGGCAACGAGGGCGTTCCGCAGCCGAATGTTTACCTTGTCGTCCCGCGCAGTGCCACCTGGTATCTGGACAGGAGCCGAAAAACACGAACTAGCCGTCACCAGGTGCCGCTCGCACCAGCTGTCGCGCTGACAGCGCACATCACTCAGGGAACTGGCAGAAGATGTCATCGCGAACAGAATAACCTGCTACATCGCTGTGACATGCGTGCTTCAGCGGGAGAAGCTGGTCATCTTTCGACAATGTGCAGCACAGCGAGATCTGCTACTGCAATGTTGGCGTGGTATCGCTCCGGACTGGGACGCCGCTCAGCTCGATACAACGTCACGAAACGCTGCAGCACGTGCGACATCCACAAGCACATGACCGCCTTCACGAAGCCACAGCGCGGAAGAAGCGACACGAGTCTGCAAGGAGTGCGTGCGAACTTTCGTCGAGCAGAACAAGCCGTGCAGGGGACAGCATGCTTTCCGAAGGATTGAAGAAGACGTGGAGCCGAGTCTGCAACTTTCTTACGGCAGAACGACGCTGCTGCAGGCGGGGGGGGTTCAGCGCATGGCAGGCATTTTCACGCTTTCTCACAGGCACTCTTGCCTACCAAGGCTTCGTAGTGCGTAGTTCTTAGGAGGCTCTCTAAAGAAAGGCCCAAGGAATGGTGTAGCCCGCAGAGAGCGAACACAGCAAGTTGATCACAAGACCCGAGAGTCCGCTGTGCACCGAGTTGTGGCGTAGGGATTTGGTGTCTGGGGAGGGTCAAATCCCGGCGAAAAGTGAAGTGCCATGTTTTTGAGCCCTGCACCACACACTCTACAGAACCATCTGCGAGTACCGAGAGTTGACACCAGACCCTGCCACAACCACGTACCGAGTGGCGATCTTCAGGCTTTCCACGCGGCACGCAGAGCGCTGTATTGATACAAGCAACATTCAAAAACTCAAAACTCAAAACACCAATAAATTGCAGATGGTGATGCCTTTCCCACTTTGGCATGTCTTTATTCCCCACCGATTGCCGGCAAGGGCAGCAGGCCACAGCACTCGTCCGCAACAGAAGGGGCACGGAAATCTGTGAAAGACTCTTCTGGCATGTTCTGGCCTTCGACCGTTTGTCTCTGTTCGAGCGCTTAAATTGTGAATGCAGGCGCTATCACGACCCTGGCGACTCGCGTTTACGCCCAGCAGCCAAGGTAGATCAAGGCAGGGTCCCATTTGTGCATGTTGAAATGTCCGATGGTAAATTACACTAGTATTCGCCCGTAAAATTTTGAGAGCTGCTCTTGTCACGTGGCCGATGCAGCTCAACCGTGACCGCAATGCGAAGGGCATTCTGATCTGAAGCTTCAGTGGCCCATCGTTCGGAAAATGGATCCAACGAATAGTGCTTGTGGGCAGCCGAGCACTGGGAGGGACACATCTGTCCCGTGCAACACGACAATGCTCGGTGCTTCTTCCTCACCACACGACCGCCGTGGAGGGAAGCTTCGGTCATGCGAACCAAAAGGCAATTCGACCCACAACCTTCCCCATCCATCCCATCCGTCTTTCCGCTCATGCTTTCGGCACGAAGGCTGCCTGTTGGCCGTTTGCTCCACGCCCAGGTTGGGCGCACCTTCTGCAACCTGTGCACGAATGTAAGAGGTCTTGGGGCGGGACCCGAGAGATCCCTTTCCGAGATCATAAACTTGTGTGTGAGACTCCGGGAACACTCAGCCCCGCAGCATACGCAGTGTGTCCATTGGGTTGCTGTACTTGGTGCGATTTTTGGTTCAGGAGCAGGATAGTGAAAGATTTAGGGTTCCTCTCGCCTGCCCACTGCAACGAGGACTGCTGGGGTGGACACTACCCGCCAAAGCTCAGACGTTGTGCCTGTTCCCCTGTCCTCTTGGAGGCGCAGTGTACCTTCATGTCTACACGAAATGACTCAAGGGAGGAGGCAAACTGAGTCAAAATGGTCTCGTACGATAAAGCATCTAGGCAACCACAACTACAAGTCGACTACATGTGTGAAAATATGTTTCCCCACATTTAGTCGAAGTGTATGACTCCACGATTACCATTCCGCATCACAGCCCGGATGCTTGATCAAACGCAGCTTGAGGTCGGCAGCCTGGACCTGAGTACGACATCTTCAATAGGTGGCATTCCGAGTGATGTGGTGATGGTCATGTTCTCTCATCTGTTCGCCGAATTCGGTGTTAGGTAGGGATTCAGAGATATGGCCACATGTCGCCATTTAAGTAAGGGATTCAAATCTCCGAGACTTTCAAAGAGGAGCCTTGTGTTTCTTCTACTGCGCGGATCTTGAAGGGTTCAGGCTGTGTTCTGGCACCGTTCCTAAACCTAAACCCTCCTGCTGAGTGCCCCACGAAAGGGTCGTCCTTAACGTCAGGGCTGAACAAGTCCTGCTGAAGCTTCCGTTTGCCAGCTTCCGAATCCGGGTACCTGGCGGAATGCGGGCTTAGGGCTTAGGGGCTAGGGGCTTGGAACCGGCGTTTCAGACTTAAGTGGCTGAAGTCGCGCCAATCTGAAGTCAAGGCACTCGGCAGCTAGAATCTCTCGGTCTGGATGTGAGGACTCCCCAGAATGCCATCTAGCGATCATTTCCTCGCACCTCATGGCACAGAAAATGACAACCAACAGACATACCAGCATTTGCAGACCTTTGCGCTACGTATTGCGACAGATTGCCGACACTTCCAATACTTCCAGCAATTCACGGCAGCAGTGCCAGTCACCAGAACCCATGATTCCAGATTTGTTACACATGTCTTGGCAATGGCGCGTCTGCTGGCAGTCGTCGAAGAACGACTTCTCCTCGTCCTTTGGCAGCCTCTGCTCTTCCGGCAGCGCCTCACAACACTGCAGTGTGTGTGTGTGTGTGTGTGTGTGTGAACTTGGATGCTTGTCAAGCATGCTTGTAGTAGGGGTTTGGGTAGGGAGCTGGACCCTGGTCTCGGCTTGTGTGTTGGAAATGGCTTGTCGATATCTCACACTCTTTTCTCTTGGGGCTGTGTGAGCACCCCATCTCTCTCATGCACTTAGACACTCACAGGCTCACAGACTCTCACACTCCCTTGCGCCTCCCAAGCTCGAGTCATGTTCTCCAAAGTGGTCGCGAACTGCTCCGCGGTGATTGGCATCTCAGGGGGAGGAAAAAAGTTCTCAAATAGGGGCTTCATGCTCCTGATATTCTGATCCTAGAATCCTAGAGTCTGATCCCTCGGCACCTTGGCAGGAAAATGCAAACAGCTAGTTCTGAGCCAATGGCTGCCTCTTGCAAATTGTCTCGTTTTGCTCGGCCATCCCCCCGCCCCCAACACGCCTATGCCTCAGATCAGCCTGCGGTTGTATACACTTATTGTTGGGGCAACTTACCCATGCCCCGCGGCAAAAAGGGGATGCAAGCACGATTCCGCTCGATCTTTTTGAGAAACTCTCATTGCGCAACGTCTTTCCTTGAGAAAGGTCACCTGTCGGTCTACTGCAAGCAGCTGTCCCGTATTCTCCACCAAGTAAGCAGCCTGCAAACCGAGGGCATCGTGCATATCGAGCTCTGTGGGGGGATCTCTCGCGCTTGTTTCAGCTCTCGGGCTTGATGAGTGAACAGTGATTGAAGAAAACCCCCGTATTTAAATGTCCAAGAGAGCTTCGCCTTGCAGCCGTCACCTATCAATCCACTCCCTGCATCGTTGGGATTCAGATCGAGATTTTGTGGCTGGAGGTCGCTTGCAGGCTGAGCCAGCGCAGCCCGGCCGTCCCTTCATTGCAGCCCCCCGCCGCGAAGGGAAGCTGCAGCTTTAGCTCCTCGAAGGTTTCGAAGACCCCATGCAACTCGGTGTCAGGCGACGGCTTCTCGAAGTTGCCTTTCCGAGTCCAGTCGGAGACAGACAACCTTAGCTCATGCCTGCTGGGTCCACTGCAGGCAAAGGTCCCCCTGTACTCGTGGTCCCAGGCGGCGCTGTTGTCGTACGGGTCGTACTCATCGTCCTCATCGTCTGATGTTATTTCGGTCTCCTCCATCTTGATACAAAACCTCCCGTCCTTGTGAAACTCTGCTGTAACTGTAGCGCTGGTGTTCATACCTGCGGGTCCAAATTCACGTGAGCCACTGTCGTATGTAAAGGTTCCGGTTGGAAAAGAAGACATCACGAGTGTCAGGGTCCCAGCATCATCCCCAAGCTTCCAGTCATCCTGGAGCTCGCCCTCCCCCAGCAAGGTCATCCCAGCCAGGCTGCCACCAACTTGATTTTGCAGCTGCTCCTTCAGCGCCCACACGGTTGCCTCCTTGCTGATCTCCACTTCCAGCTCCCGCCCACCCGGGGTGCAAACGACCACCTTCCTTGTCGCTTCGGCCATGGAGGCGCAGCTAAAGTTCTGGCAACAGACTCGCGAGAACTCCCTACTGAGTACGACTGAGCTACTAAGTTACCGCTCCTACCCCGGCAGCCATGCGACAGAGTCCATGTTGAAGCACTCGCAGTGGCACGCCACTTTCTGGGATTCCTACAGTATTATGTAGTGTTCTGAGGTGATGTGGGCAGCCTGCCCTCCGAAGCCTGAGAAAAGCTTGAGCTCCTGCCATGTCCCAACACAAAGCTCGTGCAGGCAGACGTCTTCTGAACAAGTCCCGTGCGCAAAGCACATCTTTTTAAGGGGCCTGCAAAGGCGCACTTCATTGACGAGGCCGCAGCAAGAGAGCTGGCGCTGTTGGTTTAGACCAAGGCGCCACCCATGCCGCAGCTCACGTTCACTGACACGACACCGAAAGCGTTTTCAACGCCTCGGGCCAGCTGCCGAAGGAAAATCCTGGCCCCTCAGCCTAGGATACGTGCTCGGCATGCTTGGAAATTCTGCGTGGGTAGCATTCAAGATTCGAGCTTCCTTCAACAAGGATACATCGTCACATCTTCATGGCATCTCCGAACGTGGCACGCTTTGTCCAGCATGCTGGCTGCTGGCTGCGCTTACATATTTTTCCCATGATTCCTATGACTGCAAGACGCGCAAGGCTGCGATCCACTCATCCCGGGTGTGTGCTGAATCAGTGCAGTCAAACCTCATCTGTGCAAACGGGGCAGACTGAAACAGGCAAATACAGGCAACGTCCGTCAGCACATGAGCGGGCCACTCGAAGGTCCGCTGCGCGTCGCTCATGTCCTGTGCGTCTGAAGGATGCAGCGATTGCGCTCTCCTTGTAACCTTGCAACATATTCTCCATTATGCTCCCCCTCCCGCGCCTTCAGGGAGCCATCCTCACGTCATGGAAGGAAACACCAATGCCAAGACTCACTCACACGTAGCTTTGTGGCGTCTTTGTGACGTCTTTGTGGCGTCTTTGTGGCGTCTTTGTGACGTCTTTGTGACATCTTGTGACTCTGTCCTGCCAAGCACCATCGACCGCCTCGAGAGCGAAGAGCGCTGGGTTCGTGTCGTTGGGCACAATGCGGGCGCGACTGAAGGCAAAGTCAATGAAGCCTCGCCAGCAGCCGTGAGCGACACGCCCAAAGGCACAGTGTGCTCTCGTCTGTTCCCAACCGGTAGTTCGCAGCAGATGGCTGTCACTCGCGCAGGCCTTTGCACCCAGGCGGGTCAGGCTGCGTCAGGTCCGTCGTGGGGACATCTCGGTCTCTCCTCTGCTCTTTCAAAGCTGAGTGAGGGAGAGAGAGAGAGAGAGAGAGAGAGAGAGAGAGAGAGAGAGAGAGAGACAGACAGAGAGAGCACTACTCAGGAATGTATCTCTCTCAGAATGTACCTGAGCAAGGACAAGAAAGCGAAAGGGAGCCAGAGCGGAGCCACGGGAGCCTCCACCACACAAGCCGGCGCCCTGAAATCACAAAGAACCTCGCAGGGGTTTGCAGCAACAGTCTCAGGGTTCTCTGCAAAAGTCTCGCTCGACACGTCGAAGCGACCAACAGAGTCAAAAGCGATTTTGGAGACAGGAAGAGTAGGTGGTCTATGTTGCCACACAATGATCAAGCACTGATAAAACTAGCCATATCGAAGCCGAGCATAACCGAGCACAGCCCAGAAGGCGTCAGCAGACGCTCTAGTTACATCTCAGCTGCATGTCGCTTTCTCGGTGCTTGCCAACCCCAAACCAAAGCCGAACCGAGGCCCTGTCCGCCAGTCCCAGGATTTCACCAGCCGCGCGGAGGGGCTCTTCTTGTAGAGGTAGCCACCTCAATTCCCGCGCCCTAAAACAGACCCTCAACAACGCCCTGAAAAAGCCTCACTCTTCGCCCTTCAGGCTTCACACCTAAAGAGCGCTAAGCTCTTTCCTTAAGCAGTTCTCTCCTTCCCAATGTTGAACCAAATGTTGAGAACCCACTGATCCCCTCTGAGCGCATGACGGAGGCCGAGGTCCGGCGGGGCCTCGGAACGAGGAGTTGCTCTTTCTTTCACAAGCGCCCCATCCAAACCCCCCTTCCCCCCTTCATAGTGGTCTCTGAGCCCTCTCTGAGCCCTCTCTCTGGGCCCTCTGAGTCCTGCACTTCGGCCGTGGTCACCATGCCCGGCAACGGATCGAGTTCGGCAAGGAAGGACTCGACTGTCTGGGCCTTCTTCTCACCTTCGGATGCTCCTTTGGAGCCTTCCACGAGACCTTCCGGTGTCTTGTCAGTCTTGTCAGTCGTGTGAGTCTCCGCCGTCTTCGTGTCTGCTGACACATCTGGCACATCTGGCACCTGTTTGGCAGCAGGCTCCTCGTCAACTGCCGCCGCTTCTGGAACCTGCGCTTCGGCGGGGGCCTCCTGGGCCACATGAAGGGCGTTTGCTGCAGCTGCAGCTTCAGGGGCGGCCTCCGCTTCCTGCGCTTCCTTTGCTTCCTGCGCTTCCTTCGCTTCCTTTGCTTCCTTCGCTTCCTTCGCTTCCTTCGCTTCCTTTGCTTCCTGCGCTTCCTTTGCTTCCTTCGCTTCCTTCGCTTCCTGCGCTTCCTTCGCTTCCTTGGCTTCCTTGGCTTCCTTGGCTTCCTTCGCTTCCTTCGTTTCCTTGGCTTCCTTGGCTTCCTTCGCTTCCTTGGCTTCCTTGGCTTCCTTGGCTTCCTTGGCTTCCTTTGCTTCCCCTGCCTTGGGCTTCGGGTAGCCGCCTGCCGGGGTCTCGACCGCTTCGCCAGCGGCCTCTGCAGCCTCCCTTCGCCGCTTCTCCTCCACGCGGCGCTTGCGTGCGGCGTCGTTGTTCCGCGTGAGCCTTACAAGGCTGAGGGGATATCAGGGATCCGATCTTCGCGATAGTGGTTCTTCGTCAAGAAAGAAGTCTTAGGAAAAAGGCACCCGCTAAAATCCCTTATAAAGTTGAAACAGGGGGATAGAAGGTACAACACCACAGACCGAAGCCCCCCAACTAAGAACCATGTACCCACTTGCGCAAGTATAAACCGATGAACTGCTTGTCGATCTCACCCCGGAAGTAGGGGTCCGTCACGGGGTAGCCGAGCTTGCACATCATTGGGTTGGACTTCAGCGCGTGCAAGAAGGCCTCTGTTACAAGCCTCCCGCTCGCTGTGTTGTTGCAGCGCAGCTCCTACGCATCCGTAGGCGACCCCAAAAATGGGTCTCTACCCATGTGTCTGACATGACTCGTTCAGGAATGCGGTTAAAGGTCTGTTGGGTGAAATTGACGAACCCGGCTCCTGCAAAGCCTGGTTGACACTGGTGCCCTTGGCAATGGACTCGAGGGTCAAGGGTTGGATGGCATTCGTGTCGATGTTCAGCACCTGGAGTGAAATCCGACTTTGGGCAATTTGGGGCACCGAAACTCCGATCGCGCCGCAAGACAAGTTCCGCAAACTCTGAGAGATTCGCCTTGCTTGTATACAACTAATTCAGCCGGCACACAGCCCCCCAGGCACAAACCCTCCCCCCCCCCCCAAACTCAGAATTGGCATCACGCCCCAATGCAGAACCTGCAGGATGCTCCCATTGCTCCCTCCCTTCCCCCCTTCCCACCTTCAGGGTGCTGTTGGAGCGGAGGGACACGGCCAGGATGGCTGCCTCCGGATCCTGGAGGTTCGTGCAGCCCATGAGCCTCCGCATAGGCGGGTTTTGGGTCTGCGGCTTTCTGTGCTTGTGCTGCCATGCGCGGAATACTCGTAGAATGCTGTAGAAAAGACCCTTTCGACCCTGACAGACCAACCTTGACCCGCCCCATCTCTCCCCCTCTCTTACACGCCGGGCGGCAGCTGCTCGATGTGGGTGTTGCCTAATGAGCTAACCACAGAAGGGAAAATCCGGAGGGCAGGTTTCAGGGATTCAGCAGCTTTGGACATCTTGTGACATTTTGCGACTGTTGGGGCCCGGGCTCTCCATGGCGACCGCCAGCTTTGGAGAAATGAGGGGCTCCACGCTGCCCTCCGGCATCTTCAGGTTGGTGAAGTCCTTGAAGCGAAACGATTCAAACACGCAAGACTGGCACTTTCTTGTCTCGAGGCCTTCAAGTGAGCACTCTTCTGAGAAAAGCCTTTCAAGTCAGGACACAAATTTCACCAAGGTGGGGTCATCAAGGTGCGCCCGGTGCACCATCCAGATCATCCTCGCAGGGAGTCAAGTGAGCAGTCTCCAGGAGCAGCAATTCAAGTGACTCTTCACTGGAAGCGAAGAATTCAAAAGCATCTGCTGAAGCTGCAGAAGTCCAGTTGCCAATTTTGGAGGACTTGCTGGCCAAGGCCTTTCACCCACGAACAGGCGGCATGGAAAGACTATCGAACAGTGCCGACACTGTACCCGGGGCCTCTTTCTCCAGGCTGTGCAGTTCCGTGGCTTCTGTGCAAGCCAACACCCTCCTCAGCGTCTAAGGTATTCTGGGCATGCATACTGTCCAGCCGACAAGGTGGCAACCAAGCCACTTCACGAAGTCCTAAGCACTGAGAGCATTGAGAGCATTCAAGAACCAGTACCGGAAGCCAGCGTGTCAGTGCTTCAACACATGTCGTCCTGCCTCGTCAACAGACTGCGCCCAAAGGTCGGCAGCCTTTGACAAGGGCTTGGGAGGCTCCTCCACGTCGGGTTCCTGCAACTGTGCTCACGCAGCCCCACACCGCCCCCAACCCCCGCCATGAAACTCCCCTTTTCCCGGCCTCCACAGCCTCCACAGCCGTGGACTCTGCCTGGGCGGCTTGGGCAGCCTGGGCGGCCTGAGCAGCGAGGGCAAGGGCTTCCCGGTCCACGCCTCGGCTTACGGATCGGCTTTCGTGACTTTCACGAGCAAACTCCGCTTTGACACATGTCGGGGCCGTCGCTGCTGCGTCTGCGCCCCAAGTTCGCCTGACAGTTAGGTGCCGTCTGTCGCACAGCCACATCGAAACGCTGGCACCCACCTTCTGCTCATCGCAGGCTTTCTTCAAGCACCAGCCCAGGCCCATGTCCTCCAAAACCTTTTCGATGGTGGCCTGAGATGCTCGAAAGGCCCTCCGATGCCCTTCAACAAGCTTTAAAATCTTGCAAGCTGCACAAAACTTGTTATCGCTGAGATTCGCAAGCCTCTGTGCAGGTTCGGACCTTGCTGAGCGCAAGTCTCGGAAGGGTGTTTGGTTTGTGCTTTCCCGCATCAGGGGCTAGGACACGCTGGTCGTTGCAGTTCATGTCCGACAGCACAACGCCATCGAGAACCTCGAAAGAATTTCAAGAAAATCTTTGAGCCACATTGGGCCTGTCAAGCCGACTCAGACCAGAGCAGTCCGTATCCGTGCTATTCTGGAGCAGTCACCGCCGAAGATGTCCTGGCAAGCTTTCAGCTTGTTCTTTTTCAACTACCTTCTTGAGGTTGCCAAAAGAACTCGCGAAGACCAGAGGAGCTGGGCTCAGTGGCAAACCATCGAGCAGACCAGGATCTGGTCTCCCCCCCGCTAAGTCCCCACGGACCCCTTGAATGGCTTGTAAAACCCCCTATAGAACCTTCCTGGAACCCGGACTGCGAACCCATGGCATAGCCGCGCCCACCACCGAGCATAGACATCAAGTGCACCCAAGGTTTTTGCGGTGCCGGCCTCTGCTATCCATTACTGCTAACAAATATATGGCAGACAGGGCGTCAGGGGGACTCTGAGGTTGGACCCAACCGCCGAGGCCTCCCGCGTGCGCGCGCGCGCAAGCGTGTACCACTTAGCATATCTCGACAGTGCTACGGAGTGCTCATCAGCAGCCGGACGAATCGAAAACATTGTGCCAAGGCGCTGCCAGTTGCTGGCCTCGGGTCCAAGCACAGCTGAGAGCTGGAGCCAGAATGGCGTTTGATGGTCAGCCAGGATACGGTTGTCACTGGTCTTCGTCACCATCATGGTCATGAAGTCACGTGCATCCTCCAGCGTCCTGAGTTTCTGCAGAGCTTCAACCGCGTGAAGCAAAGGGTGGCTGATCGTCTGCCGAGGTGCTTCAAGTAGTCGAGTTCGGCCATGGGCCTCAGGGCAACGCTTCAAACCTAACAAGCAGATGACTATGACACATTTGTGACTCATTGTGAGATTGCAAGTTGAGAGGAGGTCAATTTGACTTTGCTGTTGCAATAGAGCTCGACCTTCTCTGCTGCGATCTCCATTTTGCCTGAGCTCTGAGATACTCTGGGAGTCGCGGCACAGCCATCGCCTTGTTAGCCTCCTAAACTCGCAGTCCACATTTGATGGCGAGGCTCTCAGAACCCCATCGATTTTGGCCTCCATGTCTTCCAAGCGAAGATGGCGGAGGCAAGTCAGCAGGGATGGCACGGAGATCCGCGCAAGAACAAGCTAATGAATCATGTTAGCGTGCTTGCTTGCTTGATTGCTTGCTTGCCTTGCTTCTACAGGCCATGGCGAACAGCTCCATTGCTTCGAGTTTGGCTTTGTTCATGAGCGCCGCCATGCAACATGCAAACTTGTTTGACTAGCTCCGTTGCACTTCATTGCATGGCCTAACCAGACAAGGAGCTGACGAGTTGCCTTGCAAGTAAACCAGGTCGATGTCGTTTGTTTGATGTCTGCACCCTTTCAACCAAAAGCTCGGCTCTGCTGGATCCAGCACAGCCCAGAATCTGAAAGTGCTATGCAAAGAAGGTGCCAGCATAGTTTGTTAAAAGCAGAGTAAGCATCGATTCGTGCTCCAAATGTTGATTCAGCATATCGGTATCAAGCGGTTCTTACCATGTCGCCTTTACTTGGTTAATCCATTACTGATGCTTGATCTATACACAGGTATATTTTTGTATACATACATGTTACGTTCCTTGCAGCGAATGCCGATTGCTGGGTGGGGCTGGGGCTCTCCATACCCCCTACCAGGCCCGCCGCATCTGTTCACTGGTGAAAGGTGGGTTCCGATGCCATCGCTCCCTCTCTCAGCTCTCTCTCTTCTTCTTCTTCTTCTTCTTCTTCTTCTTCTTCTTCTTCTTCTGCTTCTTCTTCTTCTTCTTCTTCTACGGGGCATGAGGGGCGTTGCCGCCCACACGCACTAGGCGCGCCCAGGCACACGTCCAGTCCGAGTGACACAGTTTACGGCTGAGCTAGCCAAGTGCATCTCTCTCGTTAACTCTTTTCTCTTCTCTCTTTCTCTCATCTCTTCTCTATCTTTCATCTCTCCTCTGTCGTTGATCTTTCCTCTCCGTGATTCATTCATTCATCCATTGTGTCTCTCTCTTTCTCTCCACACGCCAGTGGGGGGAGCTGCCCGGAAGGGCCCCCGAGAGGGAACTCCCGACCACTCCGGCCCGCCACTCTGCTCCATGGTGAGAAAAGGAGCCAAGGAGCCCTCGACACATTGGTCAGTTATGAAGGCCCCCACGCAAGTGTGCTATGCGAAGAAAACAAAATGTGGCGAGCATGGGGGAAAAACATGCATCAATTGGTAGAGTGGGTCGTTCGAATTGACGACTCTCGCTACATCCTCTCTCTTTCTCTCTCCTTCTCCCTCTCTCTCACTCTCTCTGTTGCATTCTCTGCTTCATATGTTGGGCAGCATCCACACTTGAGGGGCGGATGTTGAGCCAGTACGGCAGTCGTGCCGGCTGGTCACAGCATCCCGCAGGCAGTACAGATCACACATGAATTTCGAAAGTCCGTACTGCAGCGGCAAGCAGTCCTTCCATGCCGCATCTGCGAGTTTCTGGTTGTGCTCGTAGATCGTCCCTCCCGTAGTTTTCACTGGCACGGTCTCGTTCGTAAGATTGGTGTCCACAGTTGCCCGTTTGCTAGAGTCGTCCTTCTTCAGCATATATGAACAACCAGCCACAATGGTAGCAATATCGGCATCGACTTGAACCTGTCCTGGACATTCTCTGACATCCAATTCAACTGTTCGTACATCTCACTCTTCCGACCTTCAACCTTTTCTTCCAAGCTCTTCTCAGTTTTACACTGTGTGGCTTGCTGAGTGTGAAAAAATTTGGACTCGTCTTCGTCCTCGTACCTCGTCTTACCGTTCTGGGCGGTAACTGTGTTCATCCACAGCCGCTTGCTTGGGACACCCGCCTGGGGAGAACAACTTGCAAATAAACAATCAAAAGCCATCATAAGCAACTCTGCATCCCTTTCACCCTACAAGCTTCAGATGGAGCGGCGGAACATCGGCAACCCGTCGCTTGCAAAAATGCTGCTCAATTCTGGCGCACTCACCGCAAGACTGAACTAGCAAGAAAAACCGGATTCTTGGCGTCAAGAAGGTTCACACGTTTGGAACAGCACCAGGCCACGAACTTTGCAACAAGCACAGATAGCACAGGAACCATGAGCAGGCTTCTGTGTTGCATCTCGATTGGGCCGTCAACACCACTTCAAGCCGGTGCCCTGCTGCAAGCATGCCAAGCATGCCAACGTAGCATATTCTCACCCGCTTGTGTCTTCTGAACACTCCGCATTAAGTGGCCTTCGCCTTCATTGCTGCTGGGACGCTCTCTCGGCCAGTTTATGGGCCAACTTGGAACAGGCTTGATTCCTCTCTCCCAGCAGAAGCACTGAACTTTTTGGCCTCCAGCAACAAATCCAATCTCACCCTTGTTGTCGAACGTCTCCTTCACTTTGGTTCGCTCAGGCACTCCCCTATGGGCAGCGTGTGACGTTCATGGGTCCCTCTTCAACAACAACACTTAGGCGAAAACCATCAACGAACGACGTCATGAAATTGTGCGCGAAAGGCCTGAGGCAAGCTGCTTGCATACTGGTCCACAACAAACATTGCTTGACGAAACTGTCTAACACCTCTGTGGGTCTTCGGCAAACACAAACGCAACTATTTGTAAATCAGATACAGCACGATTCACTGTTCCATTTGGTCCCACTGTTGGGGCCTCCACCGCTTGAACTCCAGGTCTTTGGCCTCTTCTGCCTGCTTATGGTTGGGCAACCTAAATCAGCGCTCGGAGACTTCAAATCAAGGTGGCAAGGCAGCAAGCCTTTGTTTGCAGAATCTTCTTCATGTCCTTGCAGTTGAGGACCTGCATGTTCTGCAATGTCGCTTCGGATGCATGGCTACAGTTTCTATTGAGCGATCCAGTATCTTCCTGAACAGCATTGGCGCATCTGCGTTGCGATTGACATGCTGCTGGAGCATCCGATGCTGCAAAAACCCTAGAATCCCGAGCGCCAAGCCTAGCCCCAAGCCTAGCCCCCGAGCTCAATGCTTGGATGGCCTGTGGAGGCTTGGGGATGTGACAGTAGAAGCCGGCGCACTTGCATCTGAGCGAACAGGCATCAAGTATAACATGATGACAACTTTGGAACTCTTCCAAACATCCATGGTATGACGGGAGCTGTGGAGCCAGGAGCCTCAGAAACCCGTACTTGTCATGGCGACCCTGAGCCTGCGACATCTCGGCATGATGGTCCAGCTTGCGCCCACATATTTTTTGTGGGAACAGTGGAATCGGTCAAGAACTTGCTGCACCTGTCGGGCAACATGCTGCGCTGTCACCTGCCGCAAGTGTGCACGGCTGCATCGGCTCTCTACGATGTCTCCGAGCTCCGGGCTCCGAAGTTGCCTTACTCTGCAACAATCTCCAATGACTGTAGTGACGCTAGTTTAAGCAATAAGTAGTACTTCGTAGCCACACATACTACGTGGCTACGTAACCTAAGTACATGCAGAGTGCACGCGCGCTTGACATACGAGCATGAGAATGCGCCCAGTCACGCTGAAGCTTTTCTCCCGTGCGCTCTTCAGAGCGCCTGGCCAAATGGAATTGGCTGAGGCTCACAGGGGAGCACATTGCAAAGAGCACCACAACATGGTTTAGATTGGCTTATACGCTGCTGTGCGCAATTGGCTGCCTCGTGCAAAGCCACTTGCCGTTGCAACCTTGCCCTTCGATGCCTTACGAGTAGCAAAAACAACTCGCCGCATTTTCCTCTCTTGCTTGTCTGCCTGAGTAGCAAGCACCTTCCAGTAGTTGGGATACCTGTGAGCCTTGAACTCGTTCCTGGCTTCGTACGACATGAGCTGTGTGGTTCCGCATGGGCTTTGCATTGCCATACTTCCACCTTGACGAAATCTTTGACCCCAGTCACCTGCTGGCAAGGTCATCTTTGGGTGGCATGATCTCGGCACAAGAAAGCAACAAACTTTCTGCCTTTCGAGGCATCCATTCTGTTGGAGACTCGCTCCCGGAATTTGAGCACGTGCCCCGGAATATTGGCGGCCTTCTGCAGATGCGGGACGAATACTCATCTCAAGGCATGGCGAGGTGGAATCTTGGAAGATCCTCGAATAAATCCAATTAGGCACAAGGCTTTTCGTGGATGGAAGGTGCATTCGAGAATGTCCTCTTCCTGACCAAGCAGCGTTTCGGCTTTGCATGGCATTGCGGGTTAGTGCTGTGATCGAGCAATGCCACACGAATGTCACTGCTGTCCTTGCACAAGATTCGCTGCCGCAGAGCCAGGATTTCGTCTGAACGAAGAATGTTGAATTCCTCCACTGTCGTGGGTTCAAGGACACGGCGACTCAGTTGAAAAGCGAACCCCTCGGCCAAGTCCTTGGGCTCTTGGCCCTTTGGCCCTTTTGCTTTGCACTCGTCAATTCTCCACACAAAGGACCCTCTAGCCCCCCAGAAGTCTCTGCGTCCAAGTAGCTCGTCTTCATCTGGGAAGGCTATGTTGGACACGCTGGCGTTGGCGTCGAAGGCTGCCGGCATCCTGGGGCCACTGGGTTCGGGGATGTTGAGGGCAGCGTTTCGATGCTCACACTCGCACCAGGCAGGGAAGCTGTTTGAAGAGTTTAGGTTTTGGGGGGTTTGGGGTTTGGGGTTTGGGGTTTGGGGTTTGGGGTTTGGGGTTTGGGGTTTGGGGACTAAACCTCGAGGTTGCAGGGAAGGCATGAGGGCGCGTCCTCATCTCCACCGTCGATGATAAGGAGTAAACGAGAATACGAGTCATTCGTACCTGGTGCGCGAAAGCCACTTCCATCAGCCAGCAACTTTGTAACATGCAACATGTTGCACATGGCCTCGCAGCTGGAGCTTGCAAGAGCCCTCAATGCTCTTGCTGAGGTCCTTTGCCATATGGATCTAACATGATCTAACAGTGCCTTGATGCACATCCAGCATCCACGGAACTGGCTGCCACACATTCTGAGTTCCTTGTCAGTCACACGAAAACAAGCCGCAGAAGATGCCACACCAGTCCCAGACCTTACCAGGCACCGCTCAGCGAGCAAGCAGCGTCCGCATGCGTTGCACATCCCGAGGTGGAGGCGGTGGCATCACGAGCAGCACGCCGAAGCTTTTTTACGTGATGACGGCGCTCACGCCGGAACTCCAAGTACTCGTGCAAAGCAGCCGGGTCGTCAGACCTCAATTGCACCAGGAAAATCAAAACTGTCCGGGGCAGCTTCCCACAATGCCCCAAGTGCCGGGCAGGCAGCGGACCATTGCGGCAGCCATTGCGGCAAGTCAGAAGAAGGCAGGGGAGGCGGAGTTCACTGAAGCAACAAGAGGTGCTCGCCCACAATGCACTTCCAGTGCATGTTACCATGGAAAAGCTGAAAGGCATTCTTTCAAGGATCCGGAAGGCCCTCCATCACCTTGGGCTTAAGCAATCGTCCCTGCCCCTGGACTTCCTGGGACTTGTCTGGGACCTTCCTGGGACCCTACTGGGACCCTTCCGGGAATCACCGAGCTAATTTGGGGCGGCGCTGCGGGCTGGCCCGGCTGCCGAGGCGGCTCGCACAAGCGTTTACAAAGGAGACTAGGCTGAAACGAGGACATGGGCACAACAACAGTCAACACAAACTGGAAAAGCTGAAACAGCAATATCTGGAAAACTGCCTGGACGATGCCTTGCGTTTGACATCTTGTGACCTCAGCTTACCTGACGCCGGCCATCACTAGCCAGCTAGCGCAGTGATGGCTTGCAACCAGCAAGGCTTTGTCCCAAATCATGTACGAGGATAAAAGGCTCTCAGACGGCTGTGCTGTGCAACAATGGTCTTTGTAAACCCACAAGGGACCATGCCTTGCAAACCCAAAGAAATTCCGAACCAGGTTTCGCCCTAGCTCGTGCTGGGGGGGCGCCAAGGCATTCCTGTACAATGCCCTGCAGCTCCGTCATAATTTTGAACGCAGACCCTCCCAAAATTCATGGAGAAAAAAAACATCAAGAGACTGGGTGGAACCTAGTTTCCTTGATTGCTTCTTTCACTCTGTAATCAGAACAATATTGGAGGCCGGCGGCAAGGGTTCTAAGCATGGTGAAAACATGTAGGCGATCACGATCCTTGCGGAATCGGCAGCAAATGCACTCAAAGGGCATCCGTGCATATCCTGGTCTGTCGCACGTGTTGCCACTCGAAGCAAGAGATGTCAAAAGATCTCAATTTCCTGCCTGGGGCCGGCCCGGCTGCCGAGGCGGCGCGCGCAAGCGGCAAAGCGAAGGCCTCTATCAACTTGGAAAAAGCGCCATGTGTTCCCACATAGCCCATGCCATACTCCAAAGAATTCAAGTTCCGAAGCCTCCAGCCCTGCCCGGACCCTGCAGATTCGAACTACGAAACATAAGCAACCCTCTCTAGGCCGTTGTAGCTCAGCCAGCTGTTGTTGCCACGCGTTTGAGCCGAGTGTTTATGGCATTTTATGGCAGAGGATGTGGCCTCAGCTGAGCCTGGCAGCTTTGGATTGCAAGGGCTTGCGGGCTGCCGATATTCTTTCTCAGTCAGACATTTCGGGGCCGAGCTTCCAAGATCGGCGGGAATTCAGGTTCGATCTCTCCCCTCCCCCCTCCCCTCCCCCCCCTCCGCTACGGCCCCCAGCTTGCAGCCACCCGAGCTTTTTCGTCTGGGATGTCCGGGGTCATCTGAAGTTAGTGATGATGCAGCACCGCTTCAAGTGAACGATGCGCCACTGCACTCACTGAAACAGCGCGGCAAAGCTGATGCAGCTCTCGCTTTGCATCTGCGTGCCCAGCTCGCCAAAGTTGGAGATGACGTACTGCTGGCGCAGGCATCTGCCTAGAGGCACAGCATCGTCGCCAACTGATCATCGGCATGGCTGCCGCTCTCCACTTTCTGTGAATTCTTTGCAATGGGGCCCAAGATCCGGCGCAGCAACGCGGATCTCCGGCCCGAGTGCTCTAACATGGCGTTGACGGCTCCCTGGGGTAATGAAGCACATACGAGCCCTAATCCCTTGAAGCCCCAGGCCCAATTCGAAACTCAAGCATGGATAGTAGTATTCACCAAGTGTCCAAACCAGCCCCCCCGCCCGCCCCCAACAGCTGCAAACGCCCTCGACTCGACAGAACGATGGCTCTGTGGTTGTTTGCGATTCGTCTTGCACCTGCACGCCCGACTGAGCTACATGGTGAAGGATGGTGATGGCATGGGAAAAGAACCTACACGATTCGTAGACGAAAGCAAACATTTCACCACCTAGTCTTTCATCTCTTGAGCTCTCTAGGAACATCTGGTCACATCGCTTCCACATGGCCGTCCGCGATCAACGGCCTCTCCACCTCCTTCTCTTCAACGCTGCTCTCTGCCCGATGCTTCCAGCACTCGGCATCTTGGACCTTGGCATTGTGTTTGCAACCAGCCCGCTTCAAGACATGTGAGGAAAAATATATATCAACATCATCATCATCATCATCATCATCACGATAAATGGGGCCTAAACTTGAAGAACTAAACGTAATACGCTATTCTCGCGCCACACCTAAGCCCACGGCTCTCCCACCTTCTCCCTCATGACAAGTTGGAATCATGTTGAACTTGTAGACTTTTTGCCAACCCAACCTAAGAGAGGATGGCTGCGCAGCGCTTCTCTGCGGCATATGGCCCCTGACAATGGCGTTTTAAGCTCTTGACTCTTCAAGACGTGATATGAAGGTGCACGGTAATGTCCCGGCCTTGGCGCTAACAGCCGAAACCCAAAAGTTAACAAGAAACCAGCTGGACAATCTGGCCGGACAGCCAGAAGGCTCAGTGATCCGCGTGAAGCCCCTCAAAGCCTTCTGCGTCGACAGCCTGCTCAAAATCACGGCAAGACTGTGCGACTGCGCCGCAAAACACAGGGCTGCCACGTGCGTAGCCTGCCAATACGTGAGTGGCACCGCAGTACAGAAACAGGATGCATGCCTGGGCCAAAGACATGTGGCTAAAAATTTGCTTCTTGGCTCCAGCGTGAAGTCACGACGGTTGAAAGCCAGACATGCGACGTGGGCCCTGCGAGCACGCAACATGAGCCGCAAAGGCTCGAAAGCTGGGAATCTGCAGTGTCGCTCCCCCTTGGAATAGTTGACGAAACATATAAGGTGCCAGGGTTCCTGAGCCTCGCTTGCGAGTCGTTTGATCACGCGCTTTTCTTCCATGGCGCACGCCTGCTAGGCAAATGTCGCCGAGCTGACGCTTCACCATCTGCTTTATGCCCACATTTCGCCTGACAATTGTGAAATGATGTTGCGGGCCGTATACACTGGTGCTTGCGGCTACGCGCCTTGCTTGTAACATATCCTTTGTGATTCTGGCAGCCTTGGACCCTGCCGGGCCACACATTTCAGAGGTTTGGGTTTGCGGCTGGCCCCTTGGCTATTACGGATTCTGTTTCTGCACATGAACAAGAATTCGAATTTGTAAGCCGAGTCCCAATGTCATGCCATGATGAGACGCGCAAGGCCAGCTGTATTAATATGCACCCAGTATGTCCTGCGCTGGAAGTGAACTGTGCAGACCAAACAAGATCAAGCAAAACTGAGAACTCGGGGGGCTACGGGCGAATGCATGGGCACAAGCACGCTGAGAAACCTCAGCAAAGGCAGCGCTGGTCAAAGGGCACAAACATCGTCCTAGATCTATGCGCATGCGTAGTCCCTATTGACGACGAGCTGCCCCACTTCGATCTGCTCATGGCCCTGGCGCTCTCCATCGCACCTTCGTCCCGCAGGCGCCTCTGGGGAGGAAGCCATATGACGACTGCCTGCCAACAATAGCCACGGAACATGCCTTGGAGATGACAAGTCTGGGCAAGTCGCCTGCTTGGTGGCCACCCATGGGCCCACACCGCCCACACCGGCTACGCCGGCTTTGACTTGCACGGCGTAGATGCGCCCATCCTGAGCAACAATCGATGGGCACGCAGTCTCCCCCCCGAGGCCGCTGGAAACCACAGACCCCAAGCAACCCCAGCGGTTTCGTGAGGAGATATGGAGAAGGACGCGTTCAGATGGGGCTTCCGTGAAAAACCGATTCGCATGCTTTGCGACTGCTTTGTAAGTCACAAATCGCCATAGGCACTTGACGCAGCGTGATTCAAGGCAGCAACATCGTCATCTGTACCTACAATCAGGCGTCTGTTTCCTGCATGATTCACGCCAGGCGGGGGATGGGTGCATCCTCCTCGAGGGGTGAGAGGTGATATGACATCGGTGCCAGAAGTATACTCTAGGCATCTCTAGACGTTTCGAGATCTTCCGCTCACTGACTGGAATGATCTCAGATCCCAAACGATATCGAACGATCCATTCGGACGAATGCAATCCCCAATGCGTTCATCTGTGCAAGATGCAACGCTTCGATTCCGCACACGGCGCTGTTGATATGGTCCTGTAGTCAATCGGCTTTGGACAGGCCTCGTCAAGCGTGGCGAAAAATTGTATGACTGCCGACCGATTTGTTTGCGCGTGTTCTGATTCCAGCTGCATGGACATACCTTGAAGTGATCGTTTGATGATGCCCTTAGAACAACTTCCTGTTGCAAATACGTGCATGGAAACCGAACAAAGTTTGTCGCACAGTTGTACATACATTACATGTTTCCGACACACCATGTGTGTGCGCGCAGTCAAGTTGTCTACAAAGCTGATGACATCACGACCGACACCTTTGACCGCAACGATGCTTGGTACATCAAACACTGGGCGAACGACATGCCTCATCATGGATCCCAGATGCTAACTCACTATAGAGGTCAACTGACATGTGGCTGTGTACTTAGCCCACGTTCATCATCCTGAGAACAAGAGTGGCAAGTGAAACCGCCAAGAGCCAGGCTACTTCAGCGACGCTCACGGCCGACACTGCCCGGGCGCCGTCAGAAATCCTTGGCAGGCTGATCGCCAACGAACAGAAATTGTTTGACAGAAACTTCGGCATGCGTCACGCAGATCTCGCCACAACACGAAGCCTAGACCAAGCACCCCGCTCAATGACTTCCAAACGGAGCCTGCCGTTTGACCATGTGGCCCTGCGAAGCAAGGCCCACCAGTTAAGCTGTCAAACTTGACAGGCATACTTTACTCACAGCGTGGGCATCTTTCAATGTTGAAGGTCGACGGGCTTCAAAAAGTGTTTACAACTATTTCCGACTATTTCCACAAATCTGGTCTGTAGTGAGCGCTGGTCGAGAGAGGCCCTGAAGATGTCCCTAACAAAGGTCACAAAAATTGATTTTTAAAGAAGTCTGCCCTACCACCCCCCCCCCACCCCCCGCATAGGCATAGGGTTCAGCAAGCAAGGGTTAAGAATCAAGCTAAGCCCAAGAGTCCATGCCCCTCCCCCTCTCCCATCTCCCGCAACTTCGCCCTGCCCAGGTGCAAGGCTTAGGAATCTGGACCACATAGACCTACTTGTCTGGCACGACAACCTTAAATGTTAAAGGAATAGGTTTAGAAACACGGTATGTATGTCCCTAAACCTTAAAAAGGTGTGTATAAATCTTGGAATAGGGTCTGACCCGAAGCCTTATTGCTTTCAAATCCAAAACTTTAACGCGTAGGGTTTATGAGTTGCTTAATTGAGGATAGCTTACGTGTGACATCCTTAAATGTTAAAGGAATAGGTTAGGAATAAGATATGTACCTCTCTAAAACTTAAACAAGTATGCATAAATCTTGGAACAGGGTCTGACCCTAAGCCTTAATCGAATAAGGCGTTTAGAAATCTAAGCCTTAAACGCGTCGGGTGTATGAGTTGCTTACTCATGAATTTTGAGGATAGTTTATGTGTGAGTCTTATCCTTGTGAGGTGTGTGCTCTTTTGGAGACCCTTTGAGAAACACTAAGATGAAAACCCACAAACTTGCGAGCAAGTCGGGCTTTTGGGCAGGCGACGTGGGTGGTTATTCTAGATGTTCTTTGCGAGGAGGCAAGCCCTGCACTTTGTAGGAATTATGTTTCCCCTAAATTTGTTTTTCGTCAGTCTAGACGAAGAAGGTTTGGCCCTAAATCATTAGACGAATAAGGTCCAGGTTTAGGAATAGGGTTTGGCCCAAACGGTTTGGCTTAAGTATTCAGCGAATATACTTCAGGCATAAAGTTCAGCGAGTGAAGTATAAGGCTTGGGACGAAACCGTAAACGAATAGCAACCAAAAGCTTTACTCACAATAACATCGACGACATGGGGTACTTCGACACAATGATCGCGACTTATATGCTGGGACTAAAGCACACACAAACACACCCCGACACATAAAGACACTGCCAGTTTTACAATGGTTTGGGGGCAGGTTGATTGCTGGATAAGCGCCGAGAATCGACTATCGGGAAAAAAGATTCAAGGCGCCTGCCGAGGTTTAAGGACAGGCACGTACCAGGGGGGGACCGTATAAATAAACAACGAAATAAACGAATAAAAAACAAGTATATATATATATATATATACATATATATATATACATATATGTAGTTGTGCCCCCCCCCCCCCCCCCCCCCCCCACCCCGCCCCTCATGGTCTACAGTCTCCCCTAAACCAACCCTAAACCCCTAAACCCCTAAACCCCTAAACCCCTAAACCCCTAAACCCCTAAACCCCTAAACCCCTAGACCCCTAAACCCCTAAACTCCTAAACCCCTAAACCCTAAAAACCCTAAACCTAAACCACCTAAAACCCTAAACCAACCCAGAAGCAGGGCGGGGGGGGGGGGAGGGGGGGGAGGCGCAACCCTCGATGTACATGTATGCAGGTGGGCAAAGTCGTATTTGTGACGGCGGCGTATATACATCTATGTATCTATGAGCATCTACAGATATTTCTTATATATGCATATATGTTCCACAGAAAGATTCGAACAAGGATGGTGTGTTTTCACCAGCATTGCGCCACTTTCTGTTCAAGGCTTGCAGGGCATTGAGGACTGAAGCGTTTAGGGTCAGCACCGCCAGACTGTCCACCTTTTTTCAAGTCTGGACAATCTCGCTGATGATATTTTGGAATTGAAGGCCTCCGGGGCACCCGTGAGCCGCCAGGAATATCTCATCAGACAGACATCAAAAGGGCGCTTGCGTACGCTGTACTCAACCAACTGTCAAGCAAAAACAGTGGAGCCAAATGGTGGATGCGCACCACATGTGCAACCACCCTTTTCAAATCTGTCTGATGAGTTCTGGTGGCCCAATCCCAAAATCTCATCAGCCAGATGGCCCCCGGCAAAGAAAAAACACTAAAAGTGCTTTGCGACGTTGAAACGTCTTCAGGTCTGCAAGACAATCAGCTTGTTTTCAGGGTCACGATCCTCTGGGGTCTGACAAGCCATTGGGGCCTTAAAGACTCATGAGGGCCTGTGTCTGCGAACCCCCGACACCCTCTGGGACCCCTGAGAACGCCTACATAATGTTGCCCATTTCCCATCCCACCCGCCCTTTCCACCCGTCTTCCCAAACAAAAGTGGCTGCAGTAGGGGTCACTTTGTCAGTGGTGGCACGATCACAGGAGCTCCCACACACACACACACACGCACAGATTGGAGTTGTAGGAAAGAGGTGGGAATAGATGTGGAAGCCCAGGACGGCCTCCAACATTGACCCCTTACGAAAAGCAACCGCAAGCAAGGCACACTGCCGTTAGTAAGGCAGCCACTCCGCAACTAGCAGGAGGTGGCTCCAAAACCGCAAGGCCTGCGCGAGACAGCTCGCTGCTTGACGCGTTAACGATCAGCCACTAGATAGTAAAAATGCCGCTGAGTCTGTTTGCCATTTCGAACTTTTATTGGGAACGTTTAAGCTGCAGGCGGTGATCATGCACAAGATGCCACGCTCGCCAACAACATTGCGGAATGCAAAGTCGAATCTACACCACCTGCAGTGCTTTGGAAAAGCTAAGGCGGACATGAATCACGACGTGCTCATTCGAGTGGCTTGGTTTGCCCACCACAATCTACAGCGGACACGATGGGGGAATGCTTGCTAACCTGCTATACATGGCTGATAACCTGAGGTTTTCGGTTTTCAGGTCGGCCACTAATTAACACGTGCAAATACCGTTTAGTCTACCCTCAGTTATATCGGGGGCTGCTGAGCTTTTAGGTGGTGATCATGCACAAGCTCCCATGCTGACAGAAGAGCAGCGACAATGCAAGGTGTATCTACTACTTGGAAGGGGGCAGGCTGCCAACATATAAACTTGCACCGAAGCCTTGGGAGGAACCACGAGGACGGCTCCGACGAGAGCCTTGCGGCAGAACAGTACCCGCTCCTTCTACAATTAGAATAATTAGAAGAGTATTGGAATCCTCTGGGCCATGCCTCAAGGCCATCGCTACTCAACGGAGTTGCTGACCTCACGGACCAACGTTGTGGTTGCTTGGATGCGCAAGTCAATGCTTCCAGAAACCAAAGCACGTTAGCGAATGCAGCTGTTCGGTATCTTGTCTGCTTCTTGCCTCATGAACCGTGAACGAAGCTACCCACGCGCCCCTTTCACTCGGGCGAAACGGATTGTGGTGTGCTGTGTTGCTTACACGCGCCTTGCGCACACTGGTTTTGGCGTGGTCTTGGAGTTGCCCTGGCATTGGCTTGGAGTGGCCTTGAAGGGATCTCGAGTGGATTTGGCTAAGGTGGCTCCTTGGTTGCAGTAGTACCTCTTTCGCCTCTCACTGTTTAGGGTTTACGGCGGAGTGATCTCGTGCTGCACCATGTCTGCTTCATCTTGCCACGCCCTGCAAGCTTGTTGCTTTAAATCACGGGACAGAACATGTGGTCAAACTTCAGAACCTGCAGCCATGAGTTTCAAAAACCCATGAAAGGAGGGTCGGGGCTGAGCCAAAAAAACGTGGGCAGTAAAACAGAAAGCCTCAATCAGAAAACAGGAGGGCACATTCAGAAACGCAGAGGCCTCAGTCAGAAAAAGCGAAAGGCTGACTCAGGAAAACGTGGGGGGGATGAGGCAGCAAAACCTAAGGCCTCAAATTGCCGCAGACACACGCCGAGGAAATAATCGTCCAAAGGCCCCAAATCCGGAAACAAATAGGCGACAACGACGAGAAAAACAAACGTGACAATCGGACAACGTGCAGCTGTACAACGAAGAGGCTCAGTGCAAAAACGCGACAAGCTTCGAACGTGCAAACGGAATCACGACAGGACGAGAAGAAAAGTTTGGTCGCAAATCGCGTGTGTCCGAAAGCCCCAATCCGAAAACCGAAGTACTAGTCAGATAAACGTGCAGCCGTAAAACGATGTGGCTAAAGCCTTCTGGTGGAATCTTGGTTTCGAGTTGGGCCCAGGAAGCTTCCGGTGATATTTTGGCTTCAAGTTGGGCCCACAAGCCTGTCCACTGAAATCTTGGTTTCAAGTTGATCCTAAGAAGGCCCCTCCAGAGAAATCTTAGAAGGTCAGCTGGTCTGGTTTGAAGTTGGGCCCAAGAAGGCCCCTCCGGTGAAATCGGAATCAAGTTTGTTCAAGAAGGCCCCTCCGGTGAAATCTTGGAAGGCCCCTCCGGTGAAATCTTGGTTTCAAGTTGATCGCAACAATGCCCTTCCGGTGAAATCTTGGTTTCAAGTTGATCCCAAGAAGGCCCTCCGGTGAAACCTTGGTTTCAAGTTGGGCCCAAGATGGCCCCTCCGATAAAAATCTTGGTTTCAAGTTCGGCCCAAGAAGCCCCCCGGTGAAATCTTGGTTTCAAGCAGGGCTCAAAGGCCCCTTCCGACGATTTGAAAGGTGTTCGCAAGAAGGCGCCTCCGGTGAACTCTTGGTTTCAAGTTGATCTCAAGAAGGCCCCTCCGGTGAAATCTTGGTTCCAAGTTTGTCCAAGAAGGCCCCTCCGGTGAAATCTCGGCTTCAAGTTGGGCCCAAGCAGGCCCTTGCGGAGAATTTTGGTTTCAAGTAGGGCTCAAGAAAGATGATCCATCACGATGTTTGCACATGATGCTTTCGTTTTCGCGCCTGATTGTTTTCGGACTCGGCCCCGGCGTTGTTCTGATTGAGGCCTTCGCGTTTTCTGACTGGCATGCCCCGTTTTCTGACTCAGGCGTGCCGTTTTGCTGCAAGCGTTTTACGTACTGACGCCAGCGTTTTCTTACTGAAGCTGCCCCCCATGAAAGGAGAGCAAGCGAGTTGGGGCAAGTCGCGTTGCCCACAGTATGCAGAGTACATGGAACTACCTGCGGCACTCTGTTACTGCAATCGACAGAGTCTGACTGAGCCTTCCGCATTGCCCAACCATGGGGGTCCGCACAGCTTAGAGCCAACTGGCTGAAAACAGCTTTGCTATGCTTTACCGGATGCACTAAACGAATTTCATAAACGTGGATTCTTGCAAATCAGAGATGCTCATGCTGCCAAGAGTTTTTTCAACTGGACAATCTCGATTCATGCTAGTATCTCCTGCGCCGTCTCACTTGCAGCGGCCGGGCAACAGCAGACCGAGAGGCAGTGGGAGATGTCACGGTAGAGCACTTCTGCCAAAAAGATATAAGAACCCAAATACTCGTTCCAGCCATCGTGTATCGACCCAGTCTCCAAAACAATGTAGCGAACGCCCAGCAGATTGTACTCGGCTCGCCCCACCGTCATGTGGCGGGTTTCAATGCCTGCAGCCACCCACTGCTCTGCCGAAAGTTCTTCCTCGAGCTTCCCCATGGCCCAGCGCCTCAGAAGCGGGATGATAATGCACATCTCTGTGAATGAGGCACCCACACCAGATCACACCAGCCTCTCCACCGGCATGCTCAAGATCCGGGCGAGGGCCTGGCAAGCGCCGGAACATGCCACTCCGTCTTTGCTCCGAGCCGGAGACTGTTGCGCCTTTGTAGGATGCTGCCGACGGGTGGCCCAGAGTCGGCCCGAGTCTTTCGCCTTGGATTGCGCGGAAGTGCAATCACTGTGCCACTGAACGCGTGGGCTGAAGGACCACGTCCCTGCGATTGCATGACAATTGCTGGCGCTTGGTTGCAAACTCAACTGCCAAGATTGCTGACATGTGTTGTGAACAGCATGGAGTGCTTTCTGGCCAAGTATCAGTAAGGAACGAAGACAATCCTTCAGCACACCTTGGGCAACCCAGAACACGCAGCGACCGAGACTCTCAGGGTGTACTTCGCTAAGCGAGCAGCTCCGGAGGCAAGCAGTCGAGACCGCTGTCCAGCTTCCAAACTTGGAAGTCTTCTCCACTGCCTTCTGCACCGGCGCAGACCTCCAAAGCAATTTTCCGAACTATGTCGAACAATGCCGATATTTTTGGAAGCCCGAAGCGCGTTCGCTTTCGTCACCTCGGCCACGGCGGAAATGTCGGTTTGGTAATCCTGCAGCGCGAGACGGCGACGGCGAACAGCTGAGACGACGTCAGATGACATGAGATGATGTGAGATTGCATCGGACCAACTGCCAGCCTCCTCAGGGCATTCGGTGGACGGTGTTGCTTCCAGCAACCTGCGGCGTGCTGGGACTCTAGCCAGCTGAGCGCCGCGATGCTACGCCGCGACGCTAGTATCTGGCGAGTGATCAAGGTATTACCAAGCGGCGGGTTCGGGCGCACCGATGCCTGAGTCAAGCCGGGGCTCTTCAACGGTCGTGGCTGCTGCGGATTGGAAAACACTGGAACTCCAACAGTCTGTTCCGCTAGCATTGACGGTCTAAAGACACTGAAGAAACACCTCCACTGCACGAACTGCCAATGCAGCACAGGTGCTTTGGGCGTGGCTAGTTCGGGCTGCAGGTCGTGCACCTCACACCGGTGGCCACGCATGCGCATGTTACAAGGACTGGGTGGAGATTGTTGTTGTTTGGGCCTCACGTTGTTGCCTCTTCTTTTTTTTTTTTGGGGGGGGGGGGGGTGTCATCTTGCGCATCCCAACGTCTCAGATTCACCTCGTGACTGTCCACAGCGGTCGTTCAGGCCTGGCCGGCAAAGGCCTCCATGGCACCCTCCCGCGCGGTGTGCCTTCGATACACGCGTTCGGCGCACTTACGCACTTACAACCTACTCAACAACCGAAATCAAGCAGGCAAGTGCTGCCAGCTGTGTGAGCAGGCCAAGCGGCAATGGGGCCACTGCAGAAATTAAGCTTGGAAGTTGGAAGCTCGGACTAACCATAAACAATTCAGCATCCCCCCCCCCCCCAATACCGGCAAAGAGGCCTTGACTAACCTAACACCTCCCCCCCCCCCTCCTCTGCCCGCCCCCCCCCTGCCCCCCCCCCCCTGCCCGCCCCCCCCTGGCCGCCCCCGTGCCTCCCGTTCATTTCTCAAAAGGCGCTCTAAGAGGCAAGCGGCTGCAGGAGCCCTGCCATCCACGGCTCGAAATCCTCGAGGCTCGCCGCCTCAGGAGGCAGAGGGAGTTTACGTCCCAAACAGTTTGGATTTGGGGCTGTCAAGCGTTTGGGGTGTGAAGATCCTTAGGCATAAAGGTATATCGGTGGCGCTTGCTGCTTTTTTCTACTATTCCCATGTCCTGGTCAGGCAAGCGCCTCCCCAAATGCCATCGGCCTAGATAAAGACTGGGACGCCATGTGCCGGGCCCGGGCCCAGAAGGTAACCCCCGAAGTCTGGCAGAGCTGGCGCTGTCATCTGAAGGGTTAGGATGTTCGGAAGGTATGGCTGAGACATTCTCATTCGTCTCTTTTGAGAGCATGGCTTCTTTCGATGGATGAAAATTCTTCACAGACGCCGACGCGCGAATCCCTTCCCAGTAGAGCGCACTCTGCGCGCAAGGCAAGAACGGCTTCTTCTTGCGCCCCCAAACAACAGCTCCAGGCATGGACCCCTGCATTACATGCATCCCAAACATAAAGCGGAGGAGTGCGGTTTGGGAGCTGTTCTGGTGCGGGACCCCCTTCGTCCGCACAGTACATTCCCTCTCAATGCTCACACAGAACGCACAAGATCAATGTATATGTCATCAGGCTAGCATCAGACTTTTTGGCATTCCTCTCGATACTGCATTGTTCACAACGACCGCCAAACGTTGAAAGCATCTCATCAGATGATCATCAGCACGCTGTTCAGGCCTCGTGCACAGCATCACCGCGCCGGGAAACGTCCGGGTCCCGCCCAGTGGCGGCACCGGACGCAGTGGTCGCACTTCCTTGGCCGTGCTGGTGCCTCGGATGCAGCAACGCCAACGTTCGCCCAACGCAGAGGCTGACTCCACCACAGCATCAAAGACATCAACACCCCCAAAAACACCTACACCTCCTTCAGCCCCCAGCAGCCTTCCGTGCAGTCCAAGGAGCCCCGGAGCAAAAGCCGTGCCTGGTGCAGCTGACTTCAGTTAACGGGACGGCACATCCTTTTTACAGAGCCTGAGAGAGCTGAAGACAGCGCCCGGGCACCCCTCTGGGACTATAACTGAAATCACACACGGCTCCCCAATGTGCCAGATGACAGCGGAAAAATGTTCGCCACCAGGGTTCAAAAATGCTGCAGTCTTGTCCACAAAACCCGCAACCCCTCCGTGTCTCAGCGGGCATCATCGCGAAGCGCAATCGAAACGTGCCCTCGGGCCTCAAACCCGGCACTCGGCAGAGCTTGTTGTAGCTAGTCTTTTTTTCAGTTGAAGTCGTGCCAGATCTTGACCTCCTTCTCCCCTCCCACCACCGGCCCCCTCTTTGACAATTTTCGAAACGCAAGAAGACACTGGCAACGCTGACTGGCAGTGCTGACTGGACTCTAAGCGAGGCACGGGCAGTCGGGCTTGTCGGAAGTGTAAAAGCTGGCCTGAGCAATCGGAAAGTCAGGCCTTTTCATAGGGTTCAGGGCCTGTGGGTTGATGGGTTTAGGGTCCGCTTCAGGCATGGCAGTTCCTGAGCGCCTGTCAAAGAAAGAAAGAGAGAGAGAGAGAGAGATAGAGAGAGAGAGAGATAGAGAGAGAGAGAGAGCGAGAAAGGATAAAGAGAGAGAGAGAGAGACAGAGAGAAAAAAAAAAGAAAGAAAGCGAGAGAGAGAGAGGGAGGGAGGGAGGGAGGGAGGGAGAGAGGGAGCGTCCAGTTCAGGGTTTGGCAGGAAAAGATCCGCCAGTATCCGCGACACGTCCCAGTACTGCAACTCGAGTGAAGCGAGTGAAGCGGTGTAACGGCTGAGAGGCAAATGTCGAGGATCACCCTCTTTTTGCATCCAGGCTGCTTTCCGTTGGGAAGGCCGGCCGTAGGCGTACAGGCTGCCAGGTCCTGCTCAGAAGCCGAAGCACCCTCCAGCAAGGGCGACATGCCCATGGATCTCGGTTTTTCTTCTGGGCCCGCGCAACTGTCTGGAAGTCTGCCCAGCTTCGCTTCATGCCCTGCTGCCTTGCAAGGATGTTCGGTCCTGGAAGCTCGAACCCTCACCACGGTCCCTAACCAAGCCTTTCCCTAGCAGATGCTTATTACCATCGGCTTCCGCAGTAGGCGCTTCTTCGCTTGGCACCCTCCACCGGCAGGTGTCCTGGCAGCATCCAGGGCCGCCGCTCTGCAACGGCCTGGTCGCAACAGCTTATGGGGGCGCACTGAACCATTGGGACTTCAAAGTTGACTGAAGATTTACGCTGGACCAGGCGCAAACATGAAGAGCTATTTGCATAAGCCCCTCCCCGCCCCGGGGCCCGCACACACACACACACACACAACCTGCAACCTCAACCCGGCATCTCAAGCGACAATCTCAAAGCGCGACGCAGGATGCGGGGGGGATGCAAGTGAATGTTGCGCCCCGAGTCCTACCGCGATTTGGTTACCACACGTCTTTTCCCAAAAGCGCGTTGATGACGGTCATACTGCATGCAGCGAAGGAGCAGGCGGCGCAGTTGTTGCTGCCTGACAGACTTCCGAAGCCCTCGGTCCTAAACGCAAACATTTTCGATGGCGTCAAGTCACAGGGTGTCCAGGGATTCAGGCAAGCACGGCTTTTGGAAAGCATCTCCTGTTAGGACTACTTTGAATTAGCCGGGTATGAGGATGCCAACATGCCATGGACAGGACGGATTGGACGAAGCTTGGGTACCTTACGTGCCGAAACAATCGAAACGACCTTGCCCAGAACGTTCTGAAACTCGCAGAGAAACCGGGAGGGAAACTCCCAAAAGCGCACAGTCGCTGCAAAATCGCACTCCAAACTACAGCATGTCAAACTATTCTAATATGTTACAATGCTTGTTCAACCCCCGCCAACCCCCCTCGCCCCCCCGCTCGGCCTGCCATGGCCAGGCGCGAGCCACTGGAACCAAGCCTGCGACGGTGACGTGCCAGCGTGGGACAAGTATCAATGAAGGAGCTGCCATATGAGGAGCACCATGCTCTGCCGTAAGTGGAAATCCGAGAAGATCCACTGCATGTCAAGTCTATGCAAGCATGCACGTTGGATCTGCTCTACAACTTTGCACAACATACAGGTCCGGCAAGTCCCAAGCATCCTTCCTGGACGTCGACATGGAAGAGCTAGACTCCGACGCGCATCCCCGGCCTGCGCTGCTTGCGCGGCTTGGCCACAGGGGTCGCCACCTGGCAAGGCACTGTGCACTTCGTGGAAGGCTGCTCAACTCTGCAAGATCCCTTGAGCTCAGCGAGGAAACCTGCATGACCATTATTGGGGGAACCCCAGCACCTGCCCAGGACAGCAGCACGCTCTCCATGCAAGCGGCAAGGCGAAGGCCTCTAGATTCTAGATATCAACTTGGAAAAAGCGCCATGTGTTCCCACATAGCCCATGCCATACTCCAAAGAATTCAAGTTCCGAAGCCTCCAGCCCTGCCCGGACCCTGCAGATTCGAACTACGAAACATAAGCAACCCTCTCTAGGCCGTTGTAGCTCAGCCAGCTGTTGTTGCCACGCGTTTGAGCCGAGTGTTTATGGCATTTTATGGCAGAGGATGTGGCCTCAGCTGAGCCTGGCAGCTTTGGATTGCAAGGGCTTGCGGGCTGCCGATGTTCTTTCTCGGTCGCCTTGGTTTTGTGGCTGCCGCTTCCTGCGTGCGATTTGGCGAGACACCCTGAAGACGATGATGTGCTCGGGATCGACTGGATCCCCACCTCTCCAGCCGGCAGGATCCGACCAGCCCGCGCATGTCGCAGTGCATGACGGGCGTGGTGAAGATTGCAAGGACGTATGATCATGCTGCAATGCTGCTCCAGGTTCCGGTCTTCATCCAGAGTACTGGCAGTGAATGTCGCCCAGCCGACTGTTGCACCACCTTGTGCTGGACATTTCGTCAGGCATAAGGTTTCGAGAAGCGCTGCAGGAGCCTCGGCTCTCCCACTTCCTGTTCTCCGGTGAGCATGCTACTGACGGAATCGTTTGAGCGAGGCATCCTGACGTCTGATGCTCCTGCCGCCACGCGGCCACGCGCCTCACGAGACGCTCTGCAAGCTCTTGACAGCCGGAGAGCGCTTCTGCCACCGAGCGCCGGACATTTCGCGCAACTTGGCATGGGCCAGTTCAGTCATCCATGTTCAGATGAGGTGCACCTTACCAGCCTTACCAGTAGCGCCATCCAGAGACACGCTGTCGGACGGGCTCGGCGTAATTTCGCAACAAGAGCAGCAGTTCAGGGTAAAATATCCGGGCCACTAGACCCACGAATGCATGGTCTAGTCGAACTGTTGCGCCGCCAGCTTGATAGTAGGTGGCAAAGTCGAAGAAGTCGCCGCGACTCATCATGAGTGCATTGTCCAGGGCCAGTTCTACCATGAGCCATGGCTCGTCGCGAAAGAAAACGCTGCTCAATCGGTCCAGGATATGCAAGCCTCAGCACGGACATGCCCAGGATATGCTTACAACTGCTTGTCGCCCCCTTTGCCCGCAGAAATTCTACCAAAAGACCCTGTGGATTCAAGCGACACGACCTTCGCTCCAGCGCATTCTCGGATGCCGGGCGAACAAGCTCCAGCGGCTGCGCCACATCAGCTGTGACCCAAAGATGCTGCACCAGGGCCTGAGGGCTGCTGCTGACTCTAGTTTCCTAGCTTGAATGGTCTCATGTCGCCACGTCCACCGCGCAGGATTTTACTTGGCACAATAATATGGCGCTCACGAGGCCTTCGAATCCACAAAGTTTCGCAGGATGCTTCGCCCGTTCAAGATTTCACGAGCCTCTTCACTGACTGCTTCGCACACCAGTGGCACCAGTCACCACACCGGTCACCACACCGGTCACCACAAGTTTTCCAAGCCCGGGGCCGGCAGCCATGCGAGAACCTCCATCATCACGGACCTTAGGAGAACACTCGACAGAAAGAAGTCCAGGCAGCACGTCACAAATGGGCCACCCAAGGAACACCCAAGGGGTCACTAAGGGGGGACTTCAAGACCAGCAGCTTGCCATGCCCATATATCATCAAAGCCAACATTATCATGGCAAGAAACAACTAGCACAATGCTTGAAAACGCCATTGACTTGTTTTTTGCCCCTTCATGGCGGCCTTTGTTGCCTCGGATAACTGTTGGCTCATGCCCCGTTCCAGAAGTGTTGCTTGATGCGTTGCTTTCGCCTCGTTTCCAGAGTGAGGAAGATGTGAAGACAGTGGGCCGTTTGTTGTTGCCCTTCACATTATGCGCATGATCACCTGAGCTGTAGTGCCTCTTTACTCTTTTGATTGTTGTGCAGTTGCTTGAACCATTGCTTGCAGACTTTAGCCCTTTGAAACCCGCATCATCACCGCTGGACTCAAGCGTCGGGTTCGAAGTTCGGGTTCTTGGTTCTGGGAATTAGGAGTCCTTGGAAGTGAGGCCAGGTTGGCCACCTGCTATGTCACATTACATTGCAATTGTGCTCCAAGCTATGAGACAAGCGCCTCCCACTGCTTTTGCGCTCACATGGCAGCTGATCAACAAAACAGCGACTTAGTGCAGAAGCATGCAACTTCATCACCATATCCCGGGTCATCTGTGACAACCCTCCAAGCCTATTTTCCCGAGAAGAAGTTATACTACTGTAGTAAACAGTGAATCCTGGCACTCTGAAGATCTTGTCTGACTGAGAAGTCTTGAGGGTGTGGGCATCCTTCCTGAAATTACAGAAGTGCTCGACAGAAGTATTCGACCGTCTGTTGCGCAGACACCTCACTCAAAGCCCTGAAGCGCAAGCGCTTGCTACCTGGCGCAGCTCGACTGCCACTGCATCATCTGCATCTGCCTCCGCCAGGACCGGCCACAACAAGGCACAACAAAGGCACAACAAGGCAAGCTCTGGTGCCTTAAGTTTCGCAGCATTGGAACTTTGCTTCTGAAAGCCATCCCAAGTGCCAAGCAGCACGCAACCAAAAAAGTTACAAAATCAAGGGGTGCATTTCTCAGGCTGAGTTCGCCTCGGCTTCTTGCCGAGAAGCGCTTGGAACAAGCAGACACAGGACCGGTCTCCTTCCCCCTAACCAAACTTTGTGACGGACCCCCCCCCCCCCCCCCGCCCTGTGGGAACCCCCCCCCCCCCACGCTTGGAGGAGCTGCAAACCGATGCCGTGGGGGGTCCCGCCTGTCAGAAGGCGCTCCAAAAAACACGAATTTGGGTACCCGTTTCTGGCAACTTTTCTCTGCCCTAGGACCCTTCCTGGGACCCCCCCTCCTTTTTTGAGGCCTTTCCCAGAAACCCTGTTTCCTCCTTTCCTGTCCGTGGGCCGGCCCGGCTGCCGAGGCGGCGCGCGCAAGCGTTTACAATTATTCCAGAAAGGGGCTGGAAACGGTTGCGAGGTTCTGGTAAGAATATCGCTAGTATGCTTACGAAAACATCGGCGACATGCTGGAATATTCTCAAACAAGGGAAAGAACTCTCTCACAAGAGCTGCGCCTGCAAAGTCTGAAGTTGCATGGAGATTGGGATGGCCTGTAAACAAAGAGCAACAGGAAACATGAGAACATGGCCGGCCTAAGAGGCCTGTCCGTTCGGAAGCTCTATAGAACCCCTACTGCATATACGGGAGTTTCCGCAATTTGGGGTCCTTATTGTAAGGGAAATCCTACTATTTGGGGGGGGACTAGGGGCCCCATATTTTCGTAACCCACTTTACATTCCCCGAAGCCGCTTCGGTTCCAGCACCCTCCCTTTTTGCACGATCTCGAGTCGGCCCGAGGGCTCCCCGAATACTTTCACGCCGGGACGCGTGTGTGAGGCAGCCTCTGGGATTTAGGGTTCAGGTTTAAGATTTAGGGTTAGGGTTCAGGGTTTAGGGTTTGGAATGGTTTCGAGTTGAGAGTTCAGGGTGCCTCAAACACCAGTGCGTGCCCCCGACGAAAGGCTTGAAGCCAACGCGTACCGGCAGATTTGCACGCGCAGCTCCAAGCACAACGCCCTGCAATCGGTCCTTTTTTATGTACACTGTACACATCTGTACACTCCAAGTGTGGGCTCGAGAGTCCTGGATGGGAAGAGCAATTGCGGGCGCAGGGCCAAAATCTTCGGCAGCAGGCCAGGAGAGCTCCAAGCTTCAAAGCCTCTCCTCTTTTGGGCCTAGCACAAACCGATCCGCCGCCAGAGTCAGCAGCGAATTTTGCAAAGTCGGAATGAATTAAGTGTTTGACGCTGTGCGCCCGAATTTCTTGGGGGGGCCGAAGCCCCTGTGGGATTCTCCACAGCCCCGCGGGTCTTGGAAAGGCCGGAGTCCAAAGAATGCATGGATAGCAGCGTGCACAAATATGAATGTCAAAGTGCTGCACCTTCCCTCCCAATATTGGAATAGATGAGCTCGTACGGGACCTGAACCCCCAACCGGCCCTAATTCCAGGACAGCCGAGGGCTTTCAGGACAGCTGAGGGCTCTCAAAGCGGGCACAGAGGTGCTCGGAGGCCTCGTTCTGATCCTGGCACCGGCTGAAGCCGTAACAGCGTAACCCTAAACCCTCAATGCATGTCCCCTCCGATCTCCAGATGCCACCACCTATCGGCCCTGGCGATCGGGAACTAAGAGAAATTGTAATTGAGAATGTGTAACCCCGGGTCAAAGAGCCGGCGAGCCTGGCAATACCCGGATTTCACTCATCCTACAAGTAGTCAGGAACGAGCCTTCGCGAAAATCGGGCTTGTCTCTGGCTGCGCCATGAGAAGCACAGCATCGACCTTGCTTGGGTGACTGTGTCACCACTTCTGCTGGCTGCTATGAAATGAACTAGTTGGCACACGACATCTACAGCGACGAAGCACGCTACAACGAGCTCATCTTCTCCGGCACCACCTCGCTGCTGCATATACGTAACTAGCCGACAGTCATCACTATGTTGTCCACCTGTTCATTCCAAAATCCCTGGAACTGGCCCCGAAAACAGTGATCAGCCCTGAACATCAAAAAGCCTCAACACAAAACACCCTTACTCCCTAAACCCCCCGTGTGCCAAAACAATCGTTGTGCATATCTTGATCGTCTCCAAGCCGCAACCGAGCGAATCCAGAAGGACTCCCTCTGCACGATTGCATATGCCTGGGTTCTCTCTCGCAGCTCCTGCCAGAGATAAGTTCAGCAAACAACATATGCCGCACATGTTGCGGCTGACTTCTGGATGCTGCAGCCCTTTGTTAGCGTGCATGACTCGGATTTTCAGCGCGCAACGCAAGGTCCGCCACAGGCAATCGCTCTCGGATGATCGGGAAGAAACTTCGGAATGCCATGGGTGAGGGCCACCTCGGCTTCGGGGCTTCATAGGGCTTAGGAGGGCTTGGAGACTCGTAGCGTTTGCTGCAGGCTTTGGGAACAATACGGTTCGTTGAACTCAGCTTAGATTTAAGCAATCTAGTGCAGATCTGTGCCATCTGGTGTCTCGCTGAGGCGCACGAGGTCAGAGCAGTCCAGCAGAACCACGATGTCCTGTCGAAAACTTAAAACGCATCCCAGATGCCCCCACACTCACCCAAAAAAAAGCCCTTCTTGAGTTCTGATCTCCTTGTCGATGACCTTCTCCGTTGCTAGCCGGTTTACCTGCTCCAGGCACTCAGCGACATCGCCTCGTGAGATCCCACGTGGTGTCGCACTTTGGGCTGATGGGCTTAGGGCTTAGGATGAAAGATATACACTAAGGATCCCGGCCAACCACAACTTAGAACTCCACACGAATCCACGCCACAAGCCCGACTCGAAACTTGAAACCCCCAAGCTTTCCTGAACAACTTTATCTCCAGGGCACCTGTCGCTGGGGTGCCGTAGGGGCATACCAACAAGCGGCCCAGGCCCTTGGGTCCACCTGCTTCCTGGCGGTGGACTGGGGGGAGGGGAGATGCTTGGTAGGCATTTGGGATTCTACCCATTTGTGTCGCGGTGACTGTGGCATCGGGCTAGGGGCTCGATCTGTAGCTTGTGTAACTGGTTTCTACCTGATTCGGTTTGCAGGCACCCGAGGGAGCACGCGCTACTCTTCTTCAGGCTTTTCACTTGTATCTCGTAACTCTTAACATCATCAGAAAACAAACATTGAATTGCCACCAGAGTCTCATCGTAGATGACATCATAGCAGCCCCCCTGGAAAGCAACGACCCCATGGGCAGCGGCCTGAGCAGGCCACACAGGCCACAAGTCACTTCTTTGTTTCAGGATGGCTCGGGCTTGGTGGGTTTGGAGGCTGGGAACAAAACTTGCAGATGCCAGTAGGTTCTAGAAGTCCAGATTACTATTCGCCTCTGCTTCCAGCCGAGAGGCGTGGTCTCCTTCCCCCTTCCCCCAACCAAAAACTACCCCGCCCCCCTTTCCCGAACCCTGCGGAACTTGCCCAAACTGTTAGGAGGAGCCGAAATCCGATGCCACAGCGGTTCCACGCTGCGGGCCCTTATCACAGAGACCACGCCAAAAAGATCCAGAAGCGCCCACTTTTCTGGGACCTCCCGTGCTTTCTGGGAGCCTGGGACCCTATTTTGGGACCCTGCCTGAAACCTTGGCAGACCCTTCCTAGAGCTACCGCGCGCAAGTGTTCGCAATGATTACAAACACTACAGGATCATATTGCTATGCTATTGCATTATAAAATGGCTTGTTTGACCGAGTGGCTGGCTTGGTCGCGTCTTTGGGAGGCCCCAGCCATGCAGCTTTGGCCATCTTGGAAAGCAGCAGCGGAGCTGCGAGGCAAAGAACACCTGCCGCAGAGGGGCCCCTCAACCCTCAGCCAATCTCCCCCCCCCCACCTCCCTTCCTTGGGCCCCTTTCAAGCATCACCAGGGTTTTGATTGGCTTTTCGCAGCACAGCTGTGCTTCGCCCCAGTCCTTGAAGGTTTTGAAGAGTGCATACGGGCCACATGGGGCCACACAGGCCCACAGAGCAGTAGGGCTCATAGAATTGTGAGTGGAGGCCTGAACGCCGCAGCATGCGAGCCCGGCCCGCCAGCAGAAGCGCCAGTCGGGTGGAGGCATTCTGCTCCTCTGCTTGGGTTGTGAGATCTGTCTTGTTCGGCTTCAGTTGTTCAATGAGGCTTTTGCAGGCTGAACAAGCGCGCTAACAAAGCAACCGTACGACTCACCAAGCTTATCGGAACATGTGCAAGAATTCGTCCCTCAACCATTAACGCAATCTCGACTCAAACTCGAGCTCTCGAATCTCAACGTTCGGCCCGGGCTCGCTTCCGCGGCTCCCACAAACTGCCATGTTCCAGGGCCTCCCCAGGGTTTTTGAAGTACTATTCAGAATTCTCATCTACAGGGGGCATCTGCTACAGGAAGTCTTTAATCATGTCTAATCGTTCCCGATGGCAACCATTTATTCATTTAGCCCCTGACGCACAATCAGTTCGAAGGGAACAGCGCTGTGAACCTCCCTCATCTTACACTGCATCGCAAGCATGACCCATTGTGCCCGATACCTTGCCATCTGGTCCAGCAGCTTTAGCAAGACCGCAGGCACAGTTGCCAATTGTTTGTTGAAAGGCTGTCAGTATGGACCAGAGGAATGAGTGAGATGCGCGCTGGTACGCTGAGAGGTCCGCAAGACTTGACGTACTTATGCTACCCAACTTTGTAACATGCCGCTTATGCCTCGCCACCAGCAACCTTGAGCCGCCTTGACAAATTGACAAGCACCTGTGCGCTCTTCAAAAGAGCATGCCGCGTGAAACCCCAACATGCGGAACTCACGTCGCCACTTTTCGTTCCCAGGCCAATCGCTTCGTCTCTGCGCAGCAGAGAGAGAGAGAAGCCCGAACGGAGTGTACATGAACCGCTCATGCCTTGGATTGAAGCATGCAAGTTCAACAAGGCCACCACAGAGATGGTTTGCTACTCTGTGGGAGGGTGTCTGGGTTGCAGAATTTTTGAACCCTGCCCGAATTCAGCACTCGGTGCCCGAGTCGGCAGCCTGTGCTTCAAGTACTACTCAGTACTACTCGCTACTGGCACCTGTCTTTGGCTTCATAACCCTTCACTCTGCAGCGTCGAAGGGCCGAAGCTGGGGTGCACTACTCACCTCTGCAGTGCAGACACAACGAAGCGCAACTTCTGTTGAGGACATCTCGCAGCCTCATATAGCCTCATGCTCAGGCGAGAACCCTTCGACTTCTCTGTATCAGACTGGGTGAGCTGGATTATGGCAACAACCTTGCAGCCCCGCAAAGTGAAACAATCTGACAAGAGCTTCCACGACCTTCAAGGAGCTGGCAATGAGGGCGCATGTGACGCCCGCCATGCAGATTTTGACGTTGGGGTCGCTGAGCGCAGCCCAGATGAGCTGCGTCTTGTCAAGCTCCTCAGGTCTCGGCATCGGGAGCTCTGCGGCGCTCTGGGCTCAACGGCTCAACGCACGTGGTTCAAGGCTGGTTGAACAAAGGTCCTCGTCGTCGGTCATCTTATGCAGCAGGTTCGCGAGCGCTCCGCCTGCAGTGGTGTAGATGACCTCTGTTGCCGCAAACTCCGCTTCTACGACAACCTCCGTTCTTATGCAAAGCACAACTCGTGAGAGCCACGCTCTCCGTGAGTCCACACAACGTGTCACTCTCCGCAGCATGCGAATGCGGCCGGGATGCGGAGCCCGGGATGCAGCTGACGGAGGTGGCAGCGATGAAGGTCCTATAAACATCACATCACTTCCTTTTGGACAAGGCTTACATGGCAAGTGCCTAAATCCTAAAGAGGATAAGGGAGCTTCATTAGGAGATGCAATCAGAACAAAAAGGTGACTTATAACCGCTGATTGATAAATGACGTGTCCAGCACTCAATCCGGCACTCAAAACGTTATGACATCTACGCCAACAACTGCACTACTACTATCTTTAATGATGACATCTTGTCTACAAAAAAAGGGTAGGAGAGAAGGACGGAAAATCCATGAACCATCTTGACAACGACTTCTGGCTAAACAAGAAACCATAGTGCAACAACATTGGTTACAGCAATGTCCGATGCGATGAGGTAGGCAAGACGTCCAAACTCGAGGTACACCAGGCGACATGGTGATATGCCGACCCCAAAAAGTCGCACTCAAGAATTTCCACCCAGCAAACGCAACGCGAAATGGCACACATGTTATCCGCCATGAACTGGAAGAAGCCTTTCCCCGAAGGAACGCAAGTCCCACGCTTCATGTGGGTTTTTGCAAACTTCCACATGCGCCAAAAACATGTCAAACACCATGTAAACGCAGCGCAACAATGCATCTATGACATCATGCTTTTGCATACTTCGACATGCACGAAAACCATGACAAACACAATCAAAACGCAGCGAAACATAGCATCCATGACATCCTACTCTTGCATACTTCGACATGCACGAAAACCATGCCAACCACCATCGAAACGCACCGTGAAGCTGCATCTATGACATCCTCAACAGCCACGCTAAACAGCAATTAATTACACGTCATACCCGAAAAGCGCATACCACGTTGATCTGCGAGCCGCCGACACCCGAAAATCGTGCACTGAGCGTTGATCTCCGAGCCGCCCACACCCGAAAATCGCGTACCGAGCGTTGGTCGTCGGGCCACCCTTTGTCGGCCCAGGGTACGTTTGGCGCAAGGTGCGCGTAAAGCTCGCGTAAGCAGCAGTCGGCATTTCCAGCCGAGAGAGAGTACTACGCACGCACAATGGCGCACCCTGAATTTCCCAAGTGCAATAGGGCCCAAAAGGGGGCCTCAGTAATATCAGCTTGGGCTGCATGCAGCTACCACTCGTGCAGCGCCGAAGCGAAGGGGTCACATCATGGTCTTACCACCCCTGTGTTTAAGCGGAGCCTGCCAAACGAAAAAATGGAGGTGCAAAACTGCATGCTCCCCAATTGTTTCGGTGCCTGGCTGCAAAACGAACGCATGGAAATGAACATGCCGAAACCAAACAAACGCGGACGAGGAGAACCAGTGTACATTCTCGAAACACCGTGTGCATGTAAGGGAAGCATCTGCGATCTAGCACGTCTTTAACTTGTGGTTGTTTGCTGCTGTGAACAGCGATTTTGCCTGACGCGGCATCCCTTCTCCCAATGAACGCGTGGGTTTTGCGCATGGATTTTACAGCTACATACAGCTTCCAAAAGCAGTGAAGTCGTTGCGAAATTATGAAAATCTCGAAGCGACGCTAGCCTAAGCACCCTCTGTACATGATGAGGTTACATCCATGGTCGTTTCCCCCAAGTAAACGCACGAGGAAGCGACATTTACCTTTTCTTCCCCCCAGTGACTGCACTGATCCAAACAGACTTGGGGGTGGGGGGGGGGGGGGGGGGGGGCGATTCGGGCCGTTGGGAGTGTTGGGCCCGAATTTTTCGTAGAGAAACGTTGAGAGCAAAACCCTGCAAACGGCCATATTTTCACACAATCTCAAAGTATCTCAGATTATACACTCCCGATGCAGGCATGGATAGCATTCACGGATGCCTGCACCGAACACCGACGAGCGCAGCTGCACCGTTCACGAAGAAGAACGGGAAGACCTGACACGGAGCCAGCAAGGGGGTGAGCGCTGGAAACTCCCACTTTTGCTAGAATCGCTGGGGCTCTCTCCATTGTGTAGCGAGCGGCAACGAGATAAGCGAAAGCGTTGCGACCTGGGGCAGCTGATACATTGCCGGTAGCTGGAAGCGGTCAGCGCGCCAATGATCCAAAACTCACTGCGGGGAACAAGAGCTCAAAACAAAAAATCTTGAACGTGGCTGTGCAAAAAGGGTCCCAGCCGAGGTGACAAAGGCGGTTCGAAGCCAGAAAGGTGGCTCCAACAGAGTGGCTCATGCAGGTCATGTCCATCAACCCTTCATGTCTGCTCAAACGAGAAACTCCTTCCGGAATCGCGGTAAGACCCAACAATGATCAGAGCCCATCACTGGGGGTCACTGGACTTGGCCCCCGGCGCACGTTGGCCTCGAATTTCTGGTACAACTGGGAGTTGGCTGCCAGTCGCTTCCGCCTGAGCCCAAGCAGCGACGTGCAGCGACTCAGCGACCAATGACTCACACATCCTCTGGAGCATAGGCACCGAAAAAGGAAGCCCCTTCAGGGCCCCGGCATGTAGTCTCCCAGGACAAAGGTCGTAACAAAATAGGAGATCGTTGCACCGACCTCTGTGAGCTTCACAGAAGGCCAGCCCTCAAGGGGCACGCAAAGGGAACAAGGAATCACGGGCAAGGCGCAATGTAGCCGCAGTACGCGTAGATGCTGGCGTACGGCCTCCAGATGCGGCAAGATTCAATTTCCAAACCTCCCCCCGCACCCCGTCCCATCTTCCTCGTGGTATCTGATACAGTACAACTTCAGGGTTTGAGGGTCTGGGGATAGAACAAGGATTTTATGGAGGATTGGGATTGGCTTGGGCCGCTGCTGCTTGAACAAGATCCCGCCGAGGAAGCTCAGCATTGTCGCGCCTGCAACTCACCCAGCAGATCCCTGCATGCCCCTGCCTATTCGGGTGCAGAGTATAGGGGCTGCAGTGGGAACCCCTCCTGGACAGGTGATCCCGATCACGGCAACCAGGACGCCAATCTTGGTGAAAGGCTGGACAATGGGACTCCGACGAAGAATGCATCGGCGCATCTACTTTTACCGACAGTGGCTGCTATCATGTCAAGGATACAAGGTGCTGCTCCTGAGCGCATGGCATAACAAAGCGGCGCTAGGACCGGGTTTTGCTCCACAAGGGAGGTGATGAAGTCATGGTTCCTCTGCAAACATCACCAGGGCAACATCTTGAAGCAACTCGAGCCATGGATCCGACAGTGCCGGCAAGCTAAGACTGTCAGAATGCTGTCGTCATACGGAATGGAGAACATGTTTCTTCACTGTTCCAAATCCACCCGCCCCGTTCCTGCGTAGACTCGCAACCGTCAACAGGTGGTGGAACCTGCTACAGACTAGATCTTCTTCTTGGACATGGCTTGGCCCAACACCCGAGCTTGCACGGGACTGCGGCACCGTATGTACAGCGCGACAGATGTTGAGACGACGCAGGCCTTCAGCCGAGAAAAGCCAGGGTACACAAAGCATGCGCATTATTCTGAGGATATGCTACAAGACAGCTCATGAATCTTTATTTGACCGCGTTCATCAATAGCCTTTGTTTCGACTGGACCATGAGGTAGAAACTGCCGCTGGACGCTATCAACCCAGCTCACGGATCGCTTCTAAGGGTGAACGCTCCTTCCCATGGACATCTGGTTCCTTTCCTTCGTTCCATTTTGAATTGACTTCAAGGAAACACGCGAAGTCACGCAACATTCAACAAAGGAGAAAGACAAGGGGAAACAGCGCATTTAATTCGCCTCGGCTTCCTGCCGAGAAGCGTCTGGAACAAGCAGACCCGGATCGGGCCTCCTGCCCCCTAACCCAACCCTTCACAAAATTTTTTGACGCCCCCCCCCCCCCCCCCGCCTTGTGGGACCCCCCCCAATCGCTTGGAGGAGCTGCAAACCGATGCCGTGGAGGGTCCCGCCTCTCGGTGGCTCCTACACAAGGAGCCTCAAAACCCCCCCCCCACCCCCCCCCCACCCCCTCCCCCCCCCCCCCCCACCCCTTCCCACCCCCCCCCCCCCCCCCCCTAACCCCGCCCTTGTCTTGTGAAACCCTCTTTCCTCCTTCCTGCCTGGGGCCGGCCCGGCTGCCGAGGCGGCGCGCGCAAGCGTTTGCAATTATACTATTATCGCACACTTCAAATAGTTGATTCTCGCTTTCATTTGCAGTTTAATTATGATTAGTGCGCGCTCAAGACGCTTGCAATTCCATTAATATGGCGCTCGCAAGCTCATTTAGTCTACACACACCTGGAAAAATCCCGCAGGAATACTCATGCATCTAGTTCCAGCTCCAGCGGTAAGACTCATGAAAAGACGAGTGTTATCCAGACCATGCGTTAGCAGCGTCTCAAATCATGAACTGGTTATCTAGGGTCTCAAGGTGTGACAGGGAGCTTCCGGAAGGTTGGATGGTTGTACGTGTGTGAAAGAGGAGTTTTGTGGCTCAGGGCACCGGGATGCCCTCCCTGCCTGGACCATGAAAGGAGACGATGGGCCGTAAAGGGAGATGTTGTGTGGCGAGAACACATGGTAAATGCCGGCCAGACCAAGAACAAGTCACACTTGAGCAGTGTGTTGGGCTCTTTTTCGAGGGTTTCGAAGCCACCCCCCCCCCGCCCCCCTCTTCCCTCCCCTTCTGCCCTCCCCGCACTGGGATGGTCGTGGTGACGATGGGAGGGTGGGTTTGCGCTCGACGAAAGGACTGGTGAAAACTCTCCGGGTGCTGCCGGCGGTAAGTTCATCAGCACGGAGCCAAAAGGCAAGGTTAGGAATTCATGAGCTTTCTATCTTCATTCGCGCATCTATTGGAATTATGTTGGAAATGCGCTCTTTAATTCTCTTTAGCTTCTTACTTCTAATGACGAACGCATGAAATAAGTGCCTGAATTCACTAAGCGAAAGCAACCAGAGACTACATGAACGATGATACGGTAACTTCTGATGACTGGCTCGTTGGCGTGTTGGCAATACTCTTCAGGGTGTGAAATGACCGCCTAACAGTCCCATATTATAAGCACATTGTGCGCATGAACTAGGGCATTCATGCGTGAACGAAACGAGCACAAGAAAAGAAGGTAAGATCAAGAAGAAAACACCAAGAATCAGATGAAAGAAATGTAATGCTGTAAACGGTAAACAAGCAAAGACAACTATAAAGTCAAGCATCAACTGAAATTGCTGAAATGCAAGACTCTTTCATCTGCAAACTAATGAAAAGGAGAAGCAAAAAAGAAGGACCACAAAGTGAAGAACATAAAATATTGTGATGAAATTCTAAATTAATTTTTAATGAGAGCATTTCTGAAAGATATGGCAGCGTCAGATAAAAGAACTGCAATTTGGAGAAGAGAGACGCACTAGCAAAAGCTAAATACAAGGACCTGGAACAAATGGTGACCTATTTTCCTTTGTACTGCTCCGTAACTTCTGTTGTACCATTCATACACCACCGACGACGACCACTACTGCTACTCGGGAGTTCCTGAGCCGCTGGCTCCTGCAAGTATTCGCCACTTGCCGCTCGCCTCAGGACGAAAGAGAACGAAACAGAACGAACAGGCTTCACATTTGGTAGGCAGAACTCCTTCTAAGGACCGTGTCTCATCATCTGGCCCTGTCTTATCTCACCACCTCTTGACCGCATGTGAGTTTTGCGTTTTCGCGTATGTTACCCGTGTTGCTCGTGAGATAGGCCTTTCCCTCCTCACGCACGAGTGGGTGCGAGACGCTGCCAGACTTAGGCCATGGCGCCGTGCGAGCCTGAATCGTCGCCTCTCGGAGGTTGTCGGCCAACTTAGGCTCTCGCTTTCTTCCATTGTGGGCGGGAGAGCCGGAGGGAGAGGGGCTCGCTCTCTCTCTCTCTCTCTCTCTCTCTCTCTCTCTCTCTCTCTCTCTCTCTTGACTCGTGTAGTTTGTGTTAAGGTTGGCCTGGCCAGGCACTCGCATAAGGTTCCTCCTTCCCCTGACTGCAGCACCCTCCGTCCCAGCCTGCCATTTGGGGCAGTGAAGGCTCTACTCGGACTGTGTGTTCTGAGCTGTGTGTTGTGCATAGTCTTGCGGCAAGGCGTTCCCTTCTGAAGATTGACCTACTGTCACTTTGAATTCCGAACCTGTCAGCGAACACTGCTGCAAACCTACGGCGTAATTAGCGACTTGGCTGGGGGAACCCAAGCTAGTCGGCATTAGTCAGCTTAGACTGGTACAAGGAGTACTTTGTAAGGCTTCGCCCACGCTGCAATATGAAAGCTTCAAGGCTCCAAGCGTCCCTGGCTGCAAGCCGCAGATATCAGGTGCGACGCACTGCAAGGCAGAGATGCTGCAAGATTCTGAAAGCTTCTCGGGAAAAGACGCTTTTTGTCGCCAAGCAAAGGCACTCCCTGCAGCGAAAGCGGAGACGATATCAATATCAGCACAAAGAGCCGAACTGTTCTTCGGCTTTTCCACCGCCCTCTTCAAAGGCATTTGCCTCGGATCAAGGCCTTATGATACCATCCAGGCTACCTGACAGTTGGAGATGCATCACTTGCTTCTGTGCCCACATGCGCCCATTCTCACTCAAACTCCCCAACTTGCTCGGGCCCAACAAACAGGGCCGAGGAGGCCTTGCAAATCAAATCATCGAAATCGTCGCCAGCAAGCGACACGTCCTTCCAAAACTGAAGGCCGGATCAAACCAGCGAATCGATCTGCGAATCTCATCTCTCGCATCTCTCGCGTCTCTCGGGGCCTGCTTGAATATGGTTGAGACTTTGTCCTCATCGAACTGCTGGAAAGAATCTTCCTGAGCTCAGTCAAAAACAGCCATATGTGCGGAGAATGTGTGAGGCTTAGCCACTTAGCCCACGGCATTGTGACATGTGATCAGCCCCGAAATCTCGCAGATGGCGGCATTGAAGCCGCCATCCTCTCCTCGGCGTGCCGGAAAAACTCGACTCAATGCGACTCTCTCCACTGCTCCTTCATGCAAGTGCAAGTGTCGGCATTCGTCCTCCGGCTTTCTCGGAAAGATGTACACCTCCCGAGCTTGAAAAGGAGAAAAGAAGCACCAACTGCAGGGCAAAACTTGACACTGCCTCAGGCGATGCGGCAAGCGGCTGCCAGGTTTCTTCTGCAAAGATGTCCTCGTTCTGCCTGCCATCCAGGAAGTCTACAGGACCTTTAACTCAACGCTTATCAACCCACCCTGAACCCACCATTGAAGCGCCAGGACTCACTGGGCCTCGGCTTTCGTTCACCCTGGTATGGAGCAATCATGACCTCAACACACACGGTGGCGGGGGGGGAGGGTCCAGAACAAGGCGCGCGCGTTCGCACACAAGGCACTCTTTGACTCTTTGACTCTCATCGGCGCAAAGTGAGCACATCACAATCACATTCTGTGGCCAAGGCATTGTGGGGAACGTTCCTGAACGATGGGAACCGGAGTACACGCAGAGGAAGCCCAAGCAACCCCATCCCAAGCACTTCAAGGTTCTGTCCCAAGATCTCTCCCCCACGTGCCCACACATCCCCAAATCCCCAAGCCAACTGAACACTCAACTTCAAAGAGCCCCCAAAGAAATCATGGGGGGAGGCCTTGACTGCAAGAGTCCGATGATGTTCCCTGCAAAAGTCGCCAAGGCCTGGAGCCCCCGCAGAGGGGGGGGGGTCCAATTTGTGGGCCTCTTACGGATTTAGATCTGGCATTTCTTCTTACATGTATACAGAGGGACAGACATATGTGCGCATATATATATAGAGATGCTCACGCCCCCATGATCTAGGTCGGAAAGCCTTCCGAGCACACCGAAGTGACATTTAGACCAAATTCGTAATTTATATTGCAATTTAATTATATATCTAAATTTGCCTATTAAAAGCCGCACCCTATGAAATCCTCTTCTGGGGCCTGCCTGTCCGTAACAAAATCCCATAAGAACTTTATATGCAGAGGCTGCAGCCTCAGAAGTCCTCATCTGGGCTTCCTTCCTAGTTTATTGAAAACAAACTTCAAAGTAAGAAGCCCACACCCTAAGAAAAGATCTCTCTACTTAAAGGCCACACCCTATGAAATCCTCTTCTGGGGCATCCTCTTCACTTGACCACACCCTATGAAATTCTCCGTTGGCCCCACTTCGAAATGAAAAACAATTGAGGTTTGTATTGAAACACCATACCCTAAAAAATCCTCATCTGGACTCCGTCTGTAATTCCACTTGAATAGAAGTTCAAATTAAGAGGCCACACCCCAAGACATCCTCTTCTAAGCCCCACGCATGATTAAGTCCAATAAGAAACCCTCATCTGGGCTGCGTTAGTTCTTAAACTCAATTACTTTGCATACTTCTTTTTCTTTCTTTTTATATTAATATGCCACATCCAAGACATGCTCTTCTAAGCCTCATTCGTAATCAAATCTAGTTCGCCACACCCTACATACCGAATAGTTGGAATTAAAAATGACAAAATGGTGGGTGTGTGTGTGTGTGTGTATGTATGTTTTGTGTGTTTTTGTGTGCGCTTTTTACTCTGTGTATGTGCAAGGAAGTCACATAGAACAAACAATTTCCAACAAAACAAAGCACTTTTTTGCACACTTTGCCCCAAAAAACAAAAATCCAAAACAAAAAGCCATGAAGCCGGGACACCGCTTTTTAGGGGATTTTTTGGTTTTCTCGAGGTTTTTTTGGTTTCTTTGGGAAAAACCCAAAAAAAACAACCATGTGTTTCTTTGAATTTGACTCTCTGCGGGGTTGAAAATCCAAAAAAGCGATGGCTTTTTTAAATTTCAGCGTTTTTCTTTTCTAGGCATGTGTTCTTTTAGTTTTTACTCTCCGCGGGGTTGAAAATCCAAAAACACACGTTTTTTTTTGGATTTGTGAGTGAACATCCCGAAAAAAACCATGTGCTTTTTTGTTTCAGGCCAGGAACACCTGAAATCCAAACAAACACATGGTTTTTTGGATTTCTCAAAAAAACAACGAAAAATGAACTCGAGAAAACTAAAAAAAGAACGATGTCCCAGCTTCATGGTTTTATTGTCTTGCGTTTTTCTGTGTAAACGTTTTTTCTGTGTTTTTTTGGGTGATGACGTGCAAATTGTGCGAAACACACGCGTTTCGCACTATTTACAGGTTTTCTCACCTAAAGTTAGACTTGATGAAAACAACTTTGAGGTACATGCTCAGCATGTCATTGTTATCGGCATTTACGAGGGTTTTCATAGGGAAAAACAAAAACCTAGATCATGGGGCGGGCGTGACCATATAGATATACATATTGTGGCACCACCCTCCCCCAGTGACCTGCCCTTTTCTGCCCTTGTCTCAGGCCACCCAGCTACACTACGAGCAACATTGGGTGTGCAATATGTGCTTCAACCAGACGACTAAACCGAAAACAAAAAACTCAGGGGCTTTTGTGCAACCTAGACGCAAAACACCAACCCGCACACAGAAAAACAAACAGGACTCTCGGAAGACGGCACTGACGATCCAAGATCTTTGGAATTAGTATTTTGATGCATTTTGTTTTTGGTCTTCTTGTTCCAGTTCTCACAAGAATTCCTGACAATTGATTTGGGGTTTTGGGAATGGTTTGTCGGGCTGGTTGTGGCATTGGTTTTGCCATTTTGCCAGCGCGTTGTTGGTTTCTGCTCCCAGAGTCTCAAAAGCACCGCCGAGTATCCCTGACGTTCCCATTCCATGGGGAGCGAAGAATCCGTGATTACCTGTCCGAAAACGGCTGCTTTTGAGAGTGGTTCTTGGGGAACCTGGTGAAATCTGGCTGAGTTATGGACGTAGCGGCGGCGTAGCACAAACTGTGCGAATCTTACCAGTAGGTCTTGCCCTTCTCGACCTCCCCCTTCCCCCCATTTCCTACCCGCCCCCCCCAGTTTGGTTCCGACACACCACACACCACATGCATCGCATCGCTTTCCTCGCTATGCTAACTCCACACACAAAAGCATTTCCCTCCGTCGTGCCGTCCATATCATTCCGTCGAAATTCCAAAAAAGAAATGGTAGGTCGCCGGGCCGTTGAGTTTCCATAAAAGGCTCAGAGCCTCAGAGCCGGCGTCCCTGGATCGAATGGGGCCCTTGCCTCGATGTCTCCCGGGGGAGGCTCGCCAGCCATGCCTACCTTGCATCCAGCGGTGACCACCTCACTGCGGGTTTGGGGTTCCGGGTTTAGGATTTAGGGTTTAGGGTTTAGGGTTTAGGGTTTAGGGTTTAGGGTTTATAGGTGGCCAAAGGCCCTGGTGTGAAGATTCCAGGCCGTGTGCAACTGCAACGCACAACGCCGTCCTCAGGTCCGCTCCAGCCCCCGGCAGTACCACTGAGACTCTGCCAGGAGCTCGACGCAGACCTTGCCTAAGGACGAGAGAGCAGGGACTCTTGTTCCTCGAAAATTGAAGCTTCCCCCAATTTTCCTATATTTCCCTATATGCCCACATGCGCAAGAAACTTCTCTGGCAACGGAGTGCCGGGCCCTCGGTGCGGCCGCCGCCCACGGTGGAGCGCTCCACGCGCTCCACGGGGAACTGCCTCTCAGCCCATTTGGTGCTCTTTGTGAGAGAGGGGGGGCGCTGCTTGGTAAAGAAACAAGCGTCCACAGGGTCCCTTTCTGATCATTTAATTCAGCGACTCCTAGTGATAAGGCTGCGAAGTTGGGCCGGAGATCCCGGACAGCAAAAAAGCACAACCCAAAAGTGAAACTGAAGAAAACAAAAAGTATGAAGGTACATTGGTACATATTTGTTGCTGCTCTCAAGCCCTCAACCCCCCAAACCCCCAACCTCGCAACCCCTCAACTCCTCAAAGGCTATAGAAGCTCCTCGATCCCTCAACCTCTCAACCCCCAACCCCCCAACCCGTGTCATAGTCATATTCAGGGCAGTCAGAAAGAGCGAAATTGTTTGGGGGGAGTGGGGGGGTGGGGGGATGTTGGGGGTGGGGGGGGGAGGGCAGATACTGAACCGAGCGTTACTCTAGTACTCTAGTGCTCTACATTGCGTGCTCTAGTCTGGCACGATGCCCGCCGTGATTCCACGTGCCTGGAGCCGGAGGCGAAGCCGCAGTAGTCGAGGTACATGCCGTGGTAGTGGAAATGGTTCACTGAAGCAAGTCCCAGCCTCACATCTTCTTGCGATAGAATAAGCATTGCAGCGCGACATTTCTACAGCATTGTAGCGATGGAAGCTGTTCACTCTGATGCACTCCATGTGGGCCGGGCAGGGAGTTGAAGAGAAGCCGGAAATCTTTTCTGATGGTTCTGGCCATGAGGTCCAGCCCGCAACGGAGGAACTCCGTCGTCATGACCTGCCGTCTCAAATCTCATTAAGCACTTCACCTCGATGCCGCTCGGCATTGTGCAACGCCGACACAGTCGTTTGGGCACCTGCGGAGCCACCACGTCCCGACGCGGCACCAGCAACCTCATTCCATCTCGAACAATCTCAGGCCTACTCAGGTTCCCTCCATGCTCAGCTCATGTCTATACTAGTCTATACTAGTCTATACCTGGTCCGCTCGGTGCACTGGAGGCTGTGGGTACTGCAGGGCACTCGCCTGAAAACTGCTCCAACCCTCCTTTCGCAGCCTTTTTGTTGGAACCCCGAAGCATCGAGGAATCTGCGCAGACATGTCCACAGTCTCACGACCCTAAACCGGAAGGAATGAGCAATGCCAGACGTGGAGAGTCAAGAGTCAACACGCGAAGGCGATGATTCTCTCAGCGTCCAGTGACCGCCTTCGCGAAGGCGAGGGCCACAGGCGAAGAGATGGAAGGCCGTCAGCAGAGGTTTTGAAGTTGGCAGAATCAGAAGACCCGTGCCTTGTCCAGGGCAAAGTAGCCGGTGCCAAGTCAGGAAAGAGGAGCAAAATTCGTCGTCAAACTGGCAAAGGGACAGGTTCTGAACAGGGTCGCAAGATCCGATCATGCGGGCCAGTTGACAAGGGCGGGCGCGTAGGCCCAGTGGAGCTCACCTTTCTGAAGCTTCGGATCCATCGCCAGGCCGGTTTTGCCATGACATCCGTCGAAGGCTACACCGGCCTTGGAGTGCTTGCAACCTCTGTGCCAGTGCGAGCGCACCCATGGCCGTTGCAACACTGAAGTTGCGCAGCAGCGCCGGTTCGGCAATCGCTTCAGCCGGCGGCGGTTGCATCGCCGTCGCTGCCGGCACAAGACAGAGCTCTGCACCACGAAAGCCACGAAGCCCACATGAGGTAAGGCAAAATCCCTGAATAAACTGGTGTCCATAAGAACGGCACAGGTGCGCGTGCTTTACCAAAAGACTGGCGTGGACCCAGGGGAGGCCCTCCTTCAGATGTGAGTTGCCGCCCATGGTCACATGCAGTACATATTACATAACAAACTGAATGGCTGAAAAGCCTATGCCACTAGACACTTAAGGAAGGGAGCTCCCTCGCACTCGGCGTACTCGGCCCGCTGCATATGGCCGATGGCCAAGGGCGAGCCGCAAGGGATGACCTCAAAAGCAGTCGCGACACACGACGTAACCCTCGCTCTTCTCTATAGACTATTCGGACTATTCGGATCCGTCCATGGCCGCTGCGGTCACGGCAAACCCGGCGGCGTCCTCGACCTGAAGCTGCACAGCAGGATCTAGGGCACCGGATGCCGGCTGCACATGGCCGCGCATGGCTGCGCACCACCCCAACAATCTCTTCTTTGGCGACTTTGTTGAAGTTGAATACCTGCGAATGGCTCTCACATTCCCGGTCGAGCAAAGAAGCATTGCTCACTTTAGAAATCAGGCCTCTGGATCAACAGGCATCACGACATCCTTATGACCACCTGGGCATGCGAGGTATACCGGCAATCTGGGCAGAGTGTTCCGACTTCTTTCCAGCTGCCTCTCACCTGCTCCCTGTAGAGTTGTTCTGTCAAGTTGCTCATTTCGGTTTACGGCAACAGTCTTGCTAGTTGCTAGTTTCATTCTGCGTATACAAAGGCTTCGGTCTTGGCTGCAAGGCACTGTATGCTCACCCAAACCAACCCCAAATGCATCGACCTTTCAAGTGCTTGTCCCCACCACTGACCAAGCCGCTTGAGGACAAAAAGACCGTCAGGCGCAAAACTCCCTCAACGCCTCTAGGCATCAGCCGGGTTGCTGCTTTTCCGCTTGTTTGCAAAGTGGTCCGGGGAGTGCTGGAGAACCAATCCGAGGTTGCCCTGGTTCGCGCTTGGGGCTTTTGGTTTTGGGCCTCCAGGGCCCCTTTAGGGCCTTAGGGCCTTTTAGTGCCTTTACAGGGCTTGCCAGGATGGAGGGTAGTGAACCAGACTCTTGTTTCGGCAGTTGCACCAAACATGCCCTAACTCATCAATCCTATGCCTATAGGGTAAGGTACCTTGCAGAAGCAAGAAAGGTACTCTTCAGAAGCACGCCGTATGCCAGCAAACAGCCTCCACAGTTCGTCGCGTGAGGCTGGAAGTTTGTGAGCGCCTCGCCAGCCAATGCTCACGCGACCAAAGCCAGGTCTTGCCAGAATCGAGCCACCATTTTAATCTTGCTTCTAGAATGCACCCTAAACCCTAAACCCTAAACCCCAAACCCCTAAACCCTAAACCCCTTGCCTCAGCGTTGCTCCTCACATGCTCCTCGGAGCCCTGAGCTGACTGGGAGCGGCACAGCAGGCCCTTGCTCGCCACCCGGGAGAAGCCGTCCAGGAGCAGCTTGTCAAAGGTGCTCTCCTTCGCCTGCGCATCTTCTACATTCACCACCTTCTACCCACCCCCGAAAGGGCCGAAAGGCCACCACCAGCAACTGAATACACTCAGTTTGAGGGGCGCTGGGTCTTGAAACGGGCCTTCTCGGTTCTTGAGGAAGCACAGCAGTCGAAGCCATTGGACACCATGGCGGCGTTGCGTTTGTTCACTTCGGTTGCCCGTTGTCTTCGGTTGCCTTGCTGAGCGATCCTGGAGCTCTGATCTGCTCCGATCTGATCGGATCTGCTCGGATCTGCTCTGTTACATCTGAGAGAACCTGACCAGCCCGCCGGACCGGCGATACCCTCTAACTGGTGCACGTTGCCTTTATCATGCAGAGCACATGGTACACATAAGAAGCTGCTGCCAAAGAGCCCTTGATTGGAAAAAGTGGAAAAACCATGAAGACTACGCGGTGCGTGAACTGCGTGGGGTAGTAAGGACAACGTAAACGCACATCGCTCTTCTGCCCTTCTGGGTGGACTTTCAACCTTCCGGCTCCGTGCGCGGCTATGCACGGCCTTCTTTGCTGAGGGTATGTTCAAAACCCCAACACTGCCGTGCTACTGCAGCTGCTGAAGTCAGGCTTTCTTTAACCCTTTCCAACACTTGCTCACGGGGGCCGTTTGCTGCAGACACCTCCACGACAATTGACAGGCCAGCCGGAACTCCAGTTCACAGGGTTCTCAGATGCGCGTCACCCCTCCCCCTACCCCCCCCCACTTCCTTCAAAAGCTCGCAACCGGAATGGCTTTGGGATTCTACTTGCAGAAGCAGGTCGTTCTGCCTATGGCGCCTTTTCTTTCCGCACCCAATACGGCCCACAAAACCTGAACCTCGTGACCGGGTACTCGCAAACAAACGTAATATTCAAATCTTCGGACAAGCCTCAGGCATAGCGCCTTCCCAGGCCATCGCAAAAAGTTGGGTGTGAGCAGCTTCAGGCGCACAGCATGGATGGGTTCACAGCATGATTGGCGACATGGCCAAGGTGGTAGAAACAGCTCGGTGGCCTCGGTGGAGCACCGACCGATTGGTTCAAGTCGGTGCAAGTGCATGGCCACGCATCGCAACTTTGCAGTTGTTGGAGAGATTATGTTTGGCATCGGTATCGGGTGAAGATCAGGTATGGCCGCGCAACATTCGCGATGTGAGTCTAGCCTAATGCAGTACAGTACGAGCTCACTCAGCCAACACACGCCGTCGCGTGCTCCAACAGCTGAGCAGCCATGGTGACCATGGTGCCTTATGCCCTTTGTCTCCCTCAATGCTGGAAACGGAGTGGTCTACACTAATTGGGGACTTCGTTGGTGAAAGTCTTCTTGCTTCCGCACCACCAAAGTTGGCTGTATGACTGGTTTCAATCCATTCGTGCCCCAGAACACACGCACCCCTCCTTCTCTATCACAGAATCACAGACTTTCTTGTCCAGTTCGCAACCCGATTGCTTCACGCAGTCGCTCCTCGCTCTGGCTCTGGCTCTGGCTCTCACTCGCTCGCTCCCTCACTCCACGAGCTCATGCACTCGCTCAACTATTTACTCACTCTGACATGAAAGCCCACGCAATCCAAACAGAACTGCAAGACGGTTGCCGCAATCACTGCAATGGGCACCTGTTTATCCTTGACTCTTGCTCAAATCACGAGTGCCCGCAGGCGAGCCATCTTGGCCGCCAGTGCAGGCCCGGGGCCCATCCCGACACATTCGGTTACCGAATGCTGGATCTGTTGCATGGATTTGCAGGGTGTACTTTCGTGTACTTTCGATGTCGGTCCTCTGCTTTTCTGTGCCGCTACAAGGCTTGAAGGCTGCTCGGTACTTCCAGTAGCCTTGGCTCTCTGCCTGTTGAGGGGTTTGGCTGACGTCTTGGTCTCAGCTCGTCTTGAAGTGCTGCCAATCGACGTGCCGTGGCCTCGATCGGTCTCTTGAAACCACCCAACACTTGATCAAAGTCTGAGCGCTGAGCACTGCAGCATCCTGAGGTTTGTTACTGTTCCTGTTGCTGGGACTGCGACAAGCAGGACCAGCACAGCCAACGCTCACCGCCTTGAAGTCCTGGCCCCACAGAGACGTAAGCGAAAAGAGAAGACGCCTTGTGCCCCGTAGCGCCGTGTCGCAGCGTGCGCTTCGTGCCGTGCCGCCGCATTACAATAGTACCGCATCACTGTTGGGAAATCCTTGCTCTCTGCGTTCGACCGGTTTTCGGCACGAGAAGCAGCGGCCGGGCGTCTTCCACCTGGAACCACTGCACTGGTGCCACTATGATCCACTGTAGTAACTGTAGTAATCCACGATGGCTCACTAGGAGTCACTCATGACGGCCAGAACGGTATTTGCTGGGAGCGGCGCTCCCTCCAGGGCCCGCCAGGAGCACACACCTCGGCCGAGATGCATCTTCATCATGACCACACAAGCATACACAAGCCACACACACACACACACACACATACACACCCGCACAAACGTGACAACGGGCCCATGTCTTGGCGCGGTGTTCATGTGAACCGCTGTCATACACTCTCGTCTCAGTGCTCGGCCGAGCGTCGGTAGGCGGCGGCCTTCGCCTGCATCGGCTCACTATCCTCACTATCCTCCCTCCGGCTCACTCGCTTCTCGCTTCTCGCTTTGCAGAAGCCACACGCCCCTCAGCGCCTGCAAGCGCAGCACTTCCGGGTTGCGATAGTCAGGGCCTTACAGGAGCGCTTGAAATTCGGCATCCCAGAAGCATCGAGGAAGAGGTCTTCCTTTGCTAAAGACGATCTTCGAAGATCTTCGAAGCGCGTGGCGACCCATCGGGCTTCTGACAGGCTTCGCTTAAGAGCTCGTTCAACGGCCCCACGATGTCCAAGAGTCTCTGAGCCTCACCTCAGTCGAACTCTCCGTTGTCGTCTGAGTCAGCAACATGCATTCTCAACAGAACATGATTCAGTGTCCGCGCTTCATTCGGATCTTTACAGCTTTAATCCCATCATGTGCGTTCTCCGTGCCCTCCACTGCACCCTCCAATTCGAGCTCCCTTCTCGCTTGGGCCCCGGCAGTCTTGGTCCAAGTGTGCTGCAAGGTCCTTGCGACCCCAAAACGCAAAGTTGTCGCGCAACGGGCCGATACTTTGCTTCAAGCCCGGGCCTTGGCCGTACCCACCCACCAGCAGCCCAGTTCGCCTGTATAGCGGCACTGGTAGCGCCAGCCCCACAAATCGAAAGAATCCGACCGTCCGAAACATGCTGAGCCAGCAGCTGTGCTGGCAAGGAATCTGCTGTCCAGGACACTCTTGCAAGTGATCCTCCAGAAATGCTGGAGTGACTGCTTGAAGTAACTGCACATGACTGCATGGCAGGAGCAAGCACCCTCTGAGAAGTTGCAAGTCTTCAGGAGTCGCCGCGAACTGTCCTGGAGCTCATCCTCGCACCCATGCCAATCACAGACCTCGCTTTCCAAGACATACAGCTTGTAGATGTATGGTATATGAGTTTAATGACCTGCACACTTTTGCACTGAACTTTAACCTCCCACACCCTCGTTCCAATACTGCTTTGAGGAGCCTACCGGTGCACGGGGGCATGCGCGGGGCTGCCAGGGACAATGCCTCAGCGAACGCGCTGCAAGGCTAAGGTCTGAGGTGAGTGCCTATAGAAATCAGATGAACTCAGGATGGAAGAATTTAGATGCTGCTTGCCTTACTTGCCTCGGATTGGGTCCCAGGCCGCACATGTTCCTGCACGCAGAAAGGCAACCCGGCTACCTCCTTATAAGCTACGAGTACTGCCAAAGCTCTTCTCTAGAGGCATCATCATCATCCGTCTTCCATTCTTCAAGAATCGCACGGCCTCGAGGTTGTGCGACCATACATGCTGCGCGCAGCGATCGTGAGGACATCGTTTCACCTGGCTCCCCGATCTCAGGCTCCAGTGCCTTAAGTTATATACCCTAAAGTTGAATAAGCGTCCTGGAGAACCTGACATTGAACACCTTCTGACAATCAGAGACCATACAACGACCGAAAACTCTTACTTGAATGACCTGCAAGTACTTCGCCCCTCATTAAAATGGCATGGCGCTCCAATGTTTTCTGTTGATCCTTGTCAAACACGAAACGTCCGGTCAGGGAATGCGAACAGCACAAAGACACAAGCACAAAATGCACATAGCAAAACTTCCAAAAAACCCCCCCCCCCCCCCCCCCCCCCCCCCCCCCCCCCCCCCCCCCCCCCCCCCCCCCCCCCCCCCCCCCCCCCCCCCCCACGGCATGATTTAGGCCTCTGCATAGCAGGCGCCCAACTCGCAGCTCAAGAGGAACTCGTAGCGGCCGGCCTCCAAGTGCTCGAAGGAAGCCTGACATCACTGCCGGATAACAGAGCGCTGCGGAATCCATGTGCATTCGTTGCGGATTCAGTCTCAGAGCCTCTGAGCCAGGGACCTGGTTTAAGCTCATGGCTGCAGGCACCCGTGCTCCAGGTTCGCCTCCAAGAGAAATCGCATTCGAAGAGCGACTGAAGGTGCGATGACAAGCTTGCGAAAGTATGCGAAACAAAGTCGACTGGTGCACGCACTCCTTCGGCCTGCAGTCAAAGGAACTCTCGCATTATCTCGCCAAGCATTTGCAAAGCGCCTGGCGCATCCCCTCCGGCCATGTGCCGTGCGTGAACCACCAGCCGCGGCGCAGCCTCCATGGCCACGAAGCACGCCACGAAGCAGAAGCGAGGCAAAGGGGAGGTTCTCCGCACCTCCGCCAGGCCATGAGGCAGCCAGCTGAGCCAGAGTCCTCGCCCAGTTTGAGGGTGAAGATCGCAGAGCAATGCACAGCAATGGAAGGGCTGAAGACGCGGAGCGGGCGCAGAGGGTCCTTTTGCACCCTCCGCCTGGGAGCCCACTTGACTTGAAGCACTCTCCTGCACACAGAAACGACAGCGGGGCTAAGCAAAGGTATGGCAAGAATCTACCTGTGAGGTGCGACGACAAGCTTTACGATCCTCACGTGACATCTGCTGCACAAAGATGTCGAATTTGGACGTACGATGACGTACGACAGCGAGAAACGGGAAGCTCGGCTTACGGCTTGCGGCTTACGGCTCCTGGCAAAGGAGCTGCACCGGGAGGTCGAAGCTTCCGAGACCGGTGCCCACTTTTGCGGTTCGCTTCTCGCCTCAGCTGAGCTCTCGGGATGGAGAGCATTAGAGGGCATATTAGCATGCATTAGCCTTCCCCCTATTCCCCTTCTTCAAAACTTCTCTTAACTTCCTCTTATGCTATGTTCAAGAGTCGGCCGAACACAAGTCGAACACGTTGCATGGCCAAGCTCAGCGGCAGGCTAGCAGAGGCAATCCTCACCACATGAGCAAGTGGCCGCAGAACAGCGTCAACGAGCCGGCAGCTACTAGGCACCCTGAAGCACAGCACAAGATATGCAATTCTGCCAGGAAGCTCTGGCGAAGTGGAAGCATCGCACATCTCCACAGGAACCTTGAATTCAGCCCAATAAACTCCCCAACAACGATTAGTTCCCTCAAACTGCTGGGAGAAGTGCTGCCGGGAACTGGCTTGCGGCATCCACCGATGCTGGAACATTCTGCACCTGCCGCCCGGACGCTGCTGTGCGTGGTCATGGCCACACTGAGTGGTCCAAATGTCATTTGCCCGGGCTCGTGGCCGGCTTGCCTCTGCATGTGCGACTGGCCTGATCACATCCTTTGGGTCGGTTCCTGGCAAACTTGCGAGAAAGGCTCAAGCTCACACTCGCGTGATCTCGTTTGCACAAGCTTTGACAGATGTTACAGGCTGGACTTGTACTTGGCCTGCATCAACACCTTGCCAAGGTTTGGCTTCCTTGGGGACCGCCACGACATCTGGCACAGGGCACCACGTCATGGAACCTGCAATGATGCGCTTTGGTGTCGTATCGCAAGGAATCGCAAGAATGTGCAGAAAGCCCAGCCTTTCTCCTCTCCTTCGATGGCCTCGCAAACCGGGAGGCGCCCGAGGTTGTGAGGTACCCGGCTTGGGAAGGACCCGGCTTTTCCCCTATCAAGCCCTATAAATCCTATAAGGGCGCTGGAACCCCTATACGGGGCTTTAGGGCGGCACGAGGTCATCACCACCCCCCCCTTCTCCGTCTAACCGAGGAGCTGGGGAGGCTGAGATCTCTGAGATCTCGCAGTGCCCCATCGCCAAAGGCATGGTGAGAGCGCCTGGGCCAAGATTCCGAGCCTTTGGTTCGGGAAGTTTGCACAGGGTTCAGGGACGAAACAGAAGATTCAGGGTACAGGGCTGCAAGGGTTTCGGGATTCTTGTGCTTGTCCGTTCAGTCTTCGTGCTCCTCACTGCTCGGATGAAGTTAAGTTGCATGCCTTTCTGCCAACATGGCACCTGCTAACCAGCATCACTCACGGAAACAAAGTCAACATCTGCGCCTGCATAAAGCGACGAGGGATCTCTCCGACTAAAAGGTACCGCCCAGCTCGACATCGAGGTTTCTTGGGACCCACGCCCCTGTGCCAGCACAGGACCGAAACCCAGAAGTGACCGGGAGGAATGTCCTGCCTCGGCACGCAGGATCGAGAAAACACAGGACCGAAATCGATTGAACGCTGAAGCACCCAACATATGCAAGTACTCTTCAACCTGTACATAAGCCCTGTGAACCGTAAACCTAAGCATCACGGCCACATGTAGCCAAGCTGATACTTAAGCTTCATGCATCAAGACAGACATGTTCAAGGGGCATGCCAGACATTGGCTTGCAGGCTGGTTTTCAAGGTATTCATTGGTGTTGTCACAGTGTTGTCCCACCTGATCACCCCCCACAATCTCTGCAGCTCGGCGGCAGCTGGAGGCAGCTCTTATCTGCCCACTGGCCCCGTGATGGCCTCTCCACAGATGTCACATCACATCCGGCGCAATGCGGCGAATTTCTTAACATCGATTCAAAGCATGCACACTCATGCATGCATCATCAAGTCTTTGGTGGAGGACCGGTGTGACGCAACTGAGCTAATTAGGGCAAGTAGGGTCTCTTTGCCTACGACATGATGGGGAGGCACCTCCCCGGAAGCATCTCAACGCGCACGACATCCTTCTTGTCGAAACTGTGAAAGACCACAAACCTTAGTTAGTTGTTTTGCAATGCGATCTTGATAACAGGCCAAGCCGACGTCTAGGTACAAGGTTGCAAGCAAGAAGCCAGGCGTCGCAAACCACATCCTCAACGCCCCTGTCCGGACATGTACACCATCACACTACTAGGAGTCAAAGCATCAGAACGGAGGAAAATCAAGTTGGTCTGCTAGTCAAGCGGCAAACCTGTGTGAATTGCCGGAGGGCTGTGCCTCCACTTCAGCTGCAACATTTTCTCAGCAGGATCGCTGTCCGATGTCAGCTCAGCGACCTTCGCAACAGGCATTTCCTCACTGTGCAGTCAAGAGTGAATGTGGGAGCACGGGACGCGCAGCCTTCATGTGTTTGGCCCGCCGGCGGCACCCGAACCTGGGAAGAATTTGGGGCGGTAAATGCCGTTTGTCAACTTGGAATTTTTTCGTCGTGCAGACTTGCTGATTCAAATCTGCGTCGCAAAGTGCTTTGAGCACAATGTCACAGTGAAGGCACAGTCTCGAAGCTTTATAAACGCTAGTCTTTGCATGTTGGGGACGGCGGCGTCCGACATGCAAGGTTGGGTTTTCGAGATGCAAAGCGCACGCCCGAGATGCATGGCACCAAGCCGTTTGCATCTCGAAAACCCAACCTTGCATGTCGGACCAGGATTCTATTTGCCTTCCTACACCCACCAGGGACGTTTGGACCAAGATTTTGCTATACTTCTCTCTTTACTTTTACGAGAGTTTTCTCTTTACTTTTAATAGGCTTTCCTCCACGGCCTCAGCAGTTTGCATCTCGAAAACCCACCTGTGCCGGTTGGACCCAGATTTTACTATTTTACTATTTTACTAATTTTACGCGAGATCGGGAGGTTGCATCTCGAAAACCCACCTGTGCCGGTTGGACCCAGATTTTACCACTTTCCTGATTTGACGCGAAATCCAGAGAAAATTCTCCTTCTTTTTTTACTTTTAATAGGATTTCCTCCACGGCCTCAGCTGTTTGCATCTCGAAAACCCACCTGTGCCGGTTGGACCCAGATTTTACTATTTTACTAATTTTACGCGAAGTCGGGAGTTTGTTTGCATCTCGAAAACCCACCTGCGCCGGTTGGACCCAGACTTTACCACTTTACTGATTTGACGCGAAATCCAGAGAAAATTCCTCCTTCTCTCTTTGCTTTTAATAGGATCTCCTCCACGGCCTCAGCAGTTTGCATCTCGAAAACCCACCTGTGCCGGTTGGACCCAGATTTTACTATTTTACTGTTTTACTATTTTACTGTTTTACTATTTTGCTATTTTGCTATTTTACTATTTTACTATTTTACTATTTTACTATTTTACGATTTTACTATTTTACTAATTTACTAATTTTACGCGAAATCGGGAGTTTGCATCTCGAAAACCCACCCGTGCCGGTTGGACCCAGATTTTACCACTTTACTGATTTGACGCGAAATCCAGAGAAAATTCTCCTTCTTTTTTTACTTTTAATAGGATTTCCTCCACGGCCTCAGCAGTTTGCATCTCGAAAACCCACCCGTGCCGGTTGGACCCAGATTTTACTATTTTACTATTTTACTATTTTACTATTTTACTATTTTACTATTTTACTATTTTACTATTTTACTATTTTACTATTTTACTATTTACTATTTTACTATTTTACTATTTTACTATTTTACTATTTTGCTATTTTACTATTTTACTATTTTACTATTTTTACTAATTTACCGCGAAATCGGGAGTTTGCATCTCGAAAACCCACCTGTGCCGGTTGGACCCAGATTTTACCACTTTACTGATTTGACGCGAAATCCAGAGAAAATTCCTCCTTCTCTCTGTACTTTTCATAGGATTTCCTCCACGGCCTCAGCAGTTTGAGTCTCGAAAACCCACCTGTGGAGCGATCGCTGCTGACCGCGTTCGACTCAAGTCCATTTATGTGTTTTGCGTCTCGTCGTGGTGGGAGCGCACTCTTCAAATCGTGTCACACAAAACGGAAGTTACCGGGCAAGGGTGGCATCAGTGCAAGCACAGTTCAAGCTTACTATCCCTGAGCTTTGTAATGTTGATTTGCATATCCGGTCGGCTGCAACCGCAAAACCGTTCCAGCATGAAAGCTGGAGAGCTTAGGATTTATAGGGTTTAGGGCTGTGCGGCCGCGGCGCTGAACCCACCGCAGCAGAATCCACAGCAGTGCCACAGCATGGGCAGACAACGCACCTGAGGTTTGACGATACAAAGTGGAATGCCTCCATTTCATTACGCATCGCTAAGGTACTGAATGCTCCTGACACTTTCCTAAACTTTCATGAGCCTTCTTGAACAAGGTGCAATGCCTCACAGGCATCCTTTCGGGGCATGGGAAGCTTGACAGGAAATGACAGCATGCAGCCCTGATCAAGCCAACATCCATCCCTCGGCGCTGCGCAGCCTTGCCACGTCCCGGAGCATGCGCTACTGGTGACACCCCTCAAGCTCCTAAAACCCGAATTCCATAAACCCTCCAGCCTCAAACCTTTAGCCCCAAACCCAAACCTTGGACCCTAATGAGCCCTAAGCCCCCCACAAGCCCTAATGAGCCCGCAGCCCCAAGCCCCAGCAACCCCGAGGTTGGCGCCAGCGTGGAGCGCCATCCTGACCAGGCCGATGGGATCGGAGCCCGTTTGTCTGAGAAGCAGAAACCTTGGAGGGGTCTCCCTCGGCTTTCTCGGGTTTTTTGCCGGGTGTTTTTTTAACAGGGCTTGTAGAGGGCGCATAGGGTTCATAGAGCGCGTAAATCTTTATTTAGGGAGGCGTTAGAATGAGATCGAGTGGGTTTGTGGAGTTTAGGGCAGATTTGGAGGGACTTTAGGATTTGAATTGGGGCTTAAGGGAGGATCTCATGGTTTTCTGTGTCTGCCATGGAACAGGGCAATGGCCAGCTGCGGCGCGTTGCAATACCTGGCGCAGCTCTTGGAATAGTTCTAGGGATTCTATGGGATTCTATGGTTACTCGTGCCGCCACACATCGCCAATGTGCCCCTGGGCGCAGTCCGAATCGTGTGCTCCTCCAGAGGTCGGCGGTACGGGGCAGCGGCGTCAAGACGCCTCAGCCGGAGTTCTCACAAAACAGCGCGACGCGGGGCCCGGGCCTGGGGTGCGCTCTGGGCTCAGGAAAGCTTTGGTTTGGGAATTCGCGCGTCAGGTTCGCAGATCATGAAAGATGTAAAGGGTAGAGCACAGGGGCATTGTACACGCATGGTATACAGGCAGGCGTGCATCGTATAAAGCATAGTGACTCATAGGAGGTTCGGCTGCAGGGCGTACGCTCAGCAACAAACTGCAAAGTGAGGAAGCACAGCAGCACCAACGGCTGCATGAAAAAGGGCCCATTGCCATTGGAGAAATTCCATCCCGGTGCAGCTGAGGTGCCGCAAAGCGGACACTTCGCGCCACAGAGCTCATCCTCGGCGACTCTTTTTGGGGGGTTCTTGATGCTCAGAGGATGGTCCTTCGCTAAGGCAGCGACGGGTGTCAGGTAGGTCCTGGCACACGCAGCAGAGGAGTACACATGCTGTCCGTACTCGTTGCCTTGGCATGCCTCGGCACCCAGAAGAAAACAATAGAAGCAAGCCCAGTCCTCCATCTGTCTGGAGTCCTCGTTGCCTGCGCAGGTTCAGGAGTGCCAAGCTTCGGCGAGTCTTCGCTCGGGTCTCCAAGACTCCCCACTTGCCAACTTTGCATACACAGACTCTGAGAAAAATGTAAACAATCGAGTCTAAACAGGGCCTACTCCCCGTCGGGCCTGGCTCACGGACTTGGAACTGCTCTTGTCGCCTGGCGACGTGGACTGTCTCGGATTAAGAGACGTAGGTAGGAATAGGCTGGCTCCACCGCTTGGGAGGATGGCAACTTCCACCTGCAACTGCGATGCATGCTGCTGATCCAGGAATCATCACGGTGCAAGGCGGTCTTCCAAGTGCGGCGGGCCTGGTCTTTGCCTGGGCTTTGAGATTCCAGGACACCCGTGAACCTGCGGCCAACATGTGCAAAACGTTCATGCGGCATCTCAGTTCTCTTGTTCCCTCGCCATGCAATCCGTGCGAACATCGTCTGAGTATCGTGTGACGTCTTCTCCGCGGGACGTGTCCTGGGCCCTCCGGGATGCAGCGCTGCCCGGTATAGCCGCAGGGAGTCGCTCACCACAATCGCTGCGACCTGTATGAACCTGCAAAAAAGAAACATATGATTTCTGAGAATACTGAAATAAAAACGCATCTCTCTCATATGCACTTGTGCACATATGCTCTCTGAGTCGCTCTGAGTCTCTCCGAGTCTCTCTGCTTCTCCCCGCCGGTTGAGGTTGGCGTTCCGCCGGCGCCAGACGCGCAGCTTCAAGGCCGCTCGCCGGCTCGGCAGGAAGGTCTGCAACGGAAGAAGAAACACCGAAAGGAGAGGCGCCGCGCTGCTCCGCAAAAGCACGCGCGCTTTTTTTTGGAGGGGCGAGAGAAGTTCGCTTGCTTGCGTCTTCTTCCCAAGGCAAAGAACCGCCCCATATATCCTTGTCTATCCTTTTTTTTCTCCACCTGCTACAGCCTGGAACGGTCAGCTGGCATCGGCTCAGGACGAGCCCCCAAGCTGGGTGGTCTCCGTGGCACCGGTGATAGGCAAGCATGCCTTGGATCTTTGCTGGGGTTTCAGGCTGTCAGAATTGGGTTGTGAAGGCATTGCGCATTGCACCTTTCGGGTTGCAACGGGCTTGTGCAACGGGCTTGACACCCAGGTGCTGTGCACCAACCGAGATTTCAACGGCCCAACCCAAAGCACATTGACGGATTTAGGTAATTCATGAGCAGCCGCCTGGGCAGGTGCTAGACCGGGCACTTGAGGCATCTTGGGGCTAGGGCGAAGGCCCTTACGAGCCTGACGAGAGCATACAAACTCAGCTAGAGGCCCCTCCTGTATCCGAAGCCGCATCAGCAGGGCAGGGCCCTCCCCGAGTCATTGCGCGCAGTTGACGAGGCAGGAGGGGAGCATCATGAGCATCAGCTGGGCGTATTTCCGGCCACAGGGCCCTCCTAGGCGCCAGGCGTTGCAAATGCGCGCAATGACTCGGGCAGTTGGTTTTGCAACGCCTGGCGCCTAGGAGGGCCCTGTGGCCGGAAATACGCCCAGCTGATGCTCATGATGCTCCCCTCCTGCCTCGTCAAATGCGCGCACTGACTCGGGCAGTTGGTTTTGCAACGCCTGGCGCCTAGGAGGGCCCTGTGGCCGGAAATACGCCCCGCTGATGCTCATGATGCTCCCCTCCTGCCTCGTCAAATGCGCGCAATGACTCGGGCAGTTGGTTTTGCAACGCCTGGCGCCTAGGAGGGCCCTGTGGCCGGAAATACGCCCAGCTGATGCTCATGATGCTCCCCTCCTGCCTCGTCAAATGCGCGCAATGACTCGGGCAGTTGGTTTTGCAACGCCTGGCGCCTAGGAGGGCGCCGGAAATATGCCCCCTCCTGCCTCGTCAAATGCGCGCAATGACTCGGGCAGTTGGTTTTGCAACGCCTGGCGCCTAGGAGGGCCCTGTGGCCGGAAATACGCCCAGCTGATGCTCATGATGCTCCCCTCCTGCCTCGTCAAATGCGCGCACTCGGGCAGTTGGTTTTGCAACGCCTGGCGCCCAGGACGGCCCTGTGGCCGGAAATACGCCCAGCTGATGCTCATGATGCTCCCCTCCTGCCTCGTCAAATGCGCGCAATGACTCGGGCAGTTGGTTTTGCAACGCCTGGCGCCTAGGAGGGCCCTGTGGCCGGAAATACGCCCAGCTGATGCTCATGATGCTCCCCTCCTGCCTCGTCAACTGCGCGCAATGACTCGGGCAGTTGGTTTTGCAACGCCTGGCGCCTAGGAGGGCCCTGTGGCCGGAAATACGCCCAGCTGATGCTCATGATGCTCCCCTCCTGCCTCGTCAACTGCGCGCAATGACTCGGGCAGTTGGTTTTGCAACGCCTGGCGCCTAGGAGGGCCCTGTGGCGGAAATACGCCCAGCTGATGCTCATGATGCTCCCCTCCTGCCTCGTCAACTGCGCGCAATGACTCGGCAGTTGGTTTTGCAACGCCTGGCGCCTAGGAGGGCCCTGTGGCCGGAAATACGCCCAGCTGATGCTCATGATGCTCCCCTCCTGCCTCGTCAACTGCGCGCAATGACTCGGGCAGTTGGTTTTGCAACGCCTGGCGCCTAGGAGGGCCCCGAGGCAGGAGGGGAGCATCATGAGCATCAGCTGGGCGTATTTCCGGCCACAGGGCCCTCCTAGGCGCCAGGCGTTGCAAAACCAACTGCCCGAGTCATTGCGCGCATTTGACGAGGCAGGAGGGGAGCATCATGAGCATCAGCTGGGCGTATTTCCGGCCACAGGGCCCTCCTAGGCGCCAGGCGTTGCAAAACCAACTGCCCGAGTCATTGCGCGCATTTGACGAGGCAGGAGGGGAGCATCATGAGCATCAGCTGGGCGTATTTCCGGCCACAGGGCCCTCCTAGGCGCCAGGCGTTGCAAAACCAACTGCCCGAGTCATTGCGCGCATTTGACGAGGCAAGGAGGGGAGCATCATGAGCATCAGCTGGGCGTATTTCCGGCCACAGGGCCCTCCCAGGTGCCGGGCGTTGCAAAACCAACTGCCCGAGTCATTGCGCGCATTTGACGAGGCAGGAGCGGAGCATCATGAGCATCAGCTGGGCGTACTTCCGGCCACAGGGCCCTCCTAGGCGCCAGGCGTTGCAAAACCAACTGCCCGAGTCATTGCGCGCATTTGACGAGGCAGGAGGGGAGCATCATGAGCATCAGCTGGGCGTACTCCGGCCACAGGGCCCTCCTAGGCGCCAGGCGTTGCAAAACCAACTGCCCGAGTCATTGCGCGCATTTGACGAGGCAGGAGGGGAGCATCATGAGCATCAGCTGGGCGTATTTCCGGCCACAGGGCCCTCCTGGCGCCAGGCGTTGCAAAACCAACTGCCCGAGTCATTGCGCGCATTTGACGAGGCAGGAGGGGAGCATCATGAGCATCAGCTGGGCGTATTTCCGGCCACAGGGCCCTCCTAGACGACAGGAGTTGCAAAACCAACTGCCCGAGTCATTGCGCGCATTTGACGAGGCAGGAGGGCAATATAAGCATCAGTTGGGCATATTTCCGGCCACACGGCCCTCCTAGGCGCCAGGCGTTGCAAAACCAACTGCCCGAGTCATTGCGCGCATTGACGAGGCAGGAGGGGAGCATCATGAGCATCAGCTGGGCGTATTTCCGGCCACAGGGCCCTCCTAGGCGCCAGGCGTTGCAAAACCAACTGCCCGAGTATTGCGCGCATTTGACGAGGCAGGAGGGGAGCATCATGAGCATCAGCTGGGCGTATTTCCGGCCACAGGGCCCTCCTAGGCGCCAGGCGTTGCAAAACCAACTGCCCGAGTCATTGCGCGCATTTGACGAGGCAGGAGGGGGGCATCATGAGCATCACTGGGCGATTTCCCGGCCACAGGCCATCCTAGGCGCCAGGCGTTGCCAAAAACCAACTGCCCGATTAATTGCGCGCATTTGGACGAGGAAGGAGGGGAGCATCATGAGCATCAGCTGGGGTATTTCCGACCACAGGGCCCTACTAGGAGCCAGGCGTTGCAAAACCAACTCGACCGGAGTCAGTCATTGCGCGCATTTGACGAGGCAGGAGGGGAGCATCATGAGCATCAGCTGGGCGTATTTCCGGCCACAGGGCCCTCCTAGGCGCCAGGCGTTGCAAAACCAACTGCCCGAGTCATTGCGCGCATTTGACGAGGCAGGAGGGGAGCATCATGAGCATCAGCTGGGCGTATTTCCGGCCACAGGGCCCTCCTAGGCGCCAGGCGTTGCAAAACCAACTGCCCGAGTCATTGCGCGCGATGACGAGAGTTGACGAGGCAAGGGGGGAGCATCATGAGCATCAGCTGGGCGTATTTCCGGCCACAGGGCCCTCCCAGGTGCCGGGCGTTGCAAAACCAACTGCCCGAGTCATTGCGCGCATTTGACGAGGCAGGAGGGGAGCATCATGAGCATCAGCTGGGCGTACTTCCGGCCACAGGGCCCTCCTAGGCGCCAGGCGTTGCAAAACCAACTGCCCGAGTGCCCGAGTCATTGCGCGCGTTTGACGAGGCAGGAGGGGAGCATCATGAGCATCAGCTGGGCGTACTCCGGCCACAGGGCCCTCCTAGGCGCCAGGCGTTGCAAAACCAACTGCCCGAGTCACTGCGCGCATTTGACGAGGCAGGAGGGGCGCATCATGAGCATCAGCTGGGCGTATTTCCGGCCACAGGGCCCTCCTGGCGCCAGGCGTTGCAAAACCAACTGCCCGAGTCATTGCGCGCATTTGACGAGGCAGGAGGGGAGCATCATGAGCATCAGCTGGGCGTATTTCCGGCCACAGGGCCCTCCTAGACGACAGGAGTTGCAAAACCAACTGCCCGAGTCATTGCGCGCATTTGACGAGGCAGGAGGGCAATATAAGCATCAGTTGGGCATATTTCCGGCCACACGGCCCTCCTAGGCGCCAAGCGTTGCAAAACCAACTGCCCGCATTTTTCGGGGCAGGAGGGGAGCATCATGAGCATCAGCTGGGCGTATTTCCGGCCACAG